ACACTCTTAAACTTTTAGCATTAGCTAATGCAAAATAAAATAAAATATATCAAGACAGAGATGCACGCAATATATTAAATCTTTTCGAATGCACTATTGATTACAGCAGACTCTCTAATTGCCCTTCTAGCTAGGAAAAAATTCGATAAGCATCGAGTAAAATAAACACTTCTTAAAATAGGATTCGCCATGAGGTATCCAGAAGATGCTTCAGACTAGTCAATATCATTTACGTCGGTTTGTTTCTGATTTTCTATGCATGGATGGGAGTCAATCTATGATTTTAGGCTATATATACTTACGACAGTCTATCTCAGTGTCCTAATCTGTCGTCAGGATGTCCGCCATATTTCGAAAAATGTCGGCTCGATGTTCAAACTCACCATGTAACCTGTTTTTTAATCTTATTACTAGTCTGGACTGGGTCAACAGACAACCCGGACTAGACATGATTGGGCTCAAGGACATTTCAGACTAGTACAGACGTGTGTAAGATATTTCTCATTAAGCTAACTAGACCAGACGGGTATGCAAGACGTTTCAGACTAGATTAGACGGATGCTGCCGACATTTCTGACTAGTCATGCCGGCAGTCTCCCATCATTTTTTGCTGACTTGGGCTAGAAACCATCACAAACCGTTACAGAGAAAATAAATAAATAATTAATTAATTAACCAATTATCTAATTAATTAAGTTCTCTGTAACGGTCTGGGGTTGGGTCCAAATTTCTACCCTATATATTTCAACACTTCTTGCAGATCTTATTTCACAAAATACATAGTAAACCAGGAATCTTTATCTTTTAGATAAAAATGGATAATGGATTGCGCAAGTGTCTAATGCTTAATTTGCTGTTATAAATAATCATTTTCGCCCTACAACTTCGTATATGTTGTGCAGTCACTAAATAATAAGTTTTCATGTATTTCTCGCTTTTTGTCGGAACTTCATTCCTTAGAAATGAACGATATCTTGTGAAATGATGATAAAATGACAGAAAATCAAATTTTCTCCTTCAAGAATGATGACTTCTCGATATCTATCTCAGAAAGGATACAATTAAATGCCTATTGAAAATAAGAACCATATGAAGTAAAATAAGAAAAATTAATTACTCTACGGACAAGAGAAAATGAGTTCTTTGGCGAAGACGTGCTTTATTATCTCGAAATGAATCGCCAAAGAAAAACCTAGCATAGTGCTCATCAGAACATATAAACAATATGTATATACATTAGATTACTGAGATACTTGTGCAAATAACTTGAATATTCATGCTGATAATGTGCACACACACTGAACAAGTAGTTTCACTGAAAAAAAGCGATCAATGAAGACAGTAAAGTGAAACGATTAGGAAAAATACCATGGATATTTATTATTAAAAAAGTACACAGACAAATGAGACTTACGAATATTATCTGCTAGTAAACCTAATAAGTACCATGCATGACAGTTTTTATTTTCATTTAGATAAAATGAATGAATCGAAGCATCATGACTTTCTTAGTCGATCATTAAACGAATGGTTTTATAAGAATAAATTACAACTAAATCTTCCAAACGAGAAGTTCATTGAAGGTACAGATTACAAGTTAACTTTATTGTTAAATCAAGGACCAGAAGAAGCTTTTATATCATGCACCTGTGGCGTTCGAATAAATTTATCAAAAGAACGAATGAATTTTTCACTCAGTAATTATTAGCAACATATAAGAAAAACAAAGTTTATAGGTTTCTGATGTTGAGAGATGACTTTTTTACTTATTGTTTTATCTTCCTTGAAAATTCAAATATTTTCGATGATTATTTAGATAATAGTACCTTGTATAATGAAGTATATCGCAGATAATAAGAATATACAGACTACGAATGATGTATCGAGGATACTGACAGTACAATGAGGATACATAAGATCTATCGGCAATATAAAAGATCCAGAGGATCCATCTGCGATACATAGGATACGCACGATACATTCAAGATACGGACGATACAGAGGATCCCACAATCTCGCGGTCCGCTTTTCCCCCCTTGTAATATAAACTAACCTTATACAAATGGAAGATTATATATTAAATCACATAATACAAGCAAACGAAATTAAGCTTTACAGTTTCTTTTGAGGAATACTAGATCAATACTGTGTCGATTTTTTAGTATGGACAAGTAATATTGATATTCCCATAGCAACAATATATCGATTACAAAACTTAGTGACTTCAAGTACAGCTACTAAATATTTTCAATTTTTATTTGACAACTTGCTAAATGTTTTCTAATTAAGCTGAAGTTGTCATTTTTGTATTTGCTTAAACAGATCATTTGTATATTTGAATACTTACTAAAAAAATCTTGTCGTTATTTATACAATAAATTTGTATTTAGCATTCTTTTATCTGTAGTTTTCGTTTTCAAATTGTTCTTTTGTGCTTCTATTGTAATGCAGAGCCCTGATGAGTATTTCATTATGTTAACAAATAAATAGCACGAAACGCGTTGGGAAATTTAAACTCTACATTTATTCAATTATTTCTTATATCTAGCACATAAATTAATAATTTTACTTTTGATTCATTTTCGACTTTCATCAATTGCTGAAAAGTAAGAGTTCAAACTCGAAGATTAATGTCTATTTGTTAAGACACAGATTGATCTGTTTTTGAATTGTTTTAATTATGTCCTGCTCGTTCTCTGGTGGGATATCGTCTCGATTCTCGGGTACATGGCCCATGTGGCCACGAACAGCTGGTTGCCACGGTTGCGCGCCAGCCTCATGTAGCCCTTTTCACCCCAGCCCTCGCCCCACGAGTTCTTGATGATCCAGTAGGCTTCGCCATTTTCCTCACCGTAGCCGACAATGAGCATGGCATGGTAGCCCACAATGCTCACATCCGTCAGCGGCTGCGTCTCCACGTAGATGCCACCTTGGTAACCATAGAAGCCCTGCGTGATTGCGACGCCAACGGTCACCGGTTGGCGAGCTACCGCCTTCATCAATGCACGCTCGTCGCCCGGCGGCAGCAACTTGTTCGTAGCCTACAAACCAAAAATGGCGAGTGGGATTAGAGTATGATGATATGGTGCTCGGTACACCGCAAAAAAAAACAGAAAAGACTTGCCCAAGATTACGAGGTCGTCGTGGATGAGCGGCGACTGCCCAGCTGCACGCCTCATAGCATCTTGCTGACGCACAGATAGCCACACGTTCTGGACAAGTCCGCCTGCCGCGTATACATTTGTAGGATCCACGAAGTCATGCTCATTGATGATGATACTGACGTCGTTGACGATTCTGTGGGCACCCTCAAGTGCGCCAAACGCCGCTATTACGTAGCAGATGCCCTGCTGGCCCTGGTTTCGCACATGGGTTACTGCACCTCACTGTCGCCAGTCGACTGAGGCCGGCATCGAGCTACCTTGCACATCCCTGGTATTATTGTTGTTGCAGTTGGCTTGATCCTCATTGCGGCGAGGTGCTGTCGCTGCTCGACCGGTATTGTTTTCGTTCGAGTTATTTGGTGTCTGTACAAATTAAGGAATGGATTGAAAATAAAGATTCATGAAAATTAAAGTTTTTGCAAGAGGGGTGTCCTACAACTAACACTTAGGAATTCCTCCTCCGTTCTTGTACAGGCCATTAAATACTAAATGTAAAACTATGGAATTTTTACGATAATGTTTTAGCTTACACACATTTTCACCTGCGAAATTGTGATAATCAGTAGTCTCATGCATAAATTCTTTAAAAAAAAGCAATATCCCCAATTGAATGAACGGTGGAACTGTGAAGTTACCAATCGTTGTTTCTCATTTTCCCTCGGGATTATCACACTGACAGTGACAATTTCTTGGTAGATTAGAAATCCCTATTTCTCGGTCCTTTGACACTGCTGAGATTACCAAAGTAACGACTTTCTAATCTCAAAACCAAAGACCTGGTTATTCTTATTGAAATTCATCCATCTGGCTCACTTTTAAACTAGCCAGTCAAAATGTTGACCGGTCAGTTTGAGAGTGAATCATGTGGGTGCATTTATTTTAAATATTTTCATTCCAGACTGTTTCAGCACTAAGGATATTAAAAATATGTGATGACAGTATGTAAATGACTCTTGTGGCTTGTTCATGGTCTAATTACAGATAAATCACAATCAGATGTTCACAGCAGTAGTGAGGAGCGTGTCATACACCAAAATTCAAACGACTTCCGAAGACAATTAGAAGAGTTTTTTTTCCAATCTGTTGCATTCAGACGAAAACGCGGGAACTTCGATTTTGTGATACCTCCGCCACCACTGCTGTAGTTCAAGTGAAACTGCTAACTCTTTCAAAAGTCGTTACTTTCCTCACTTAAAACTCTCAGAAGATCAACTGTATAATTGTATTTCGTATTTGTCAGTTTGCAAATCATTATTTCTCAGTAGATAAACAAAACCTCTGTGAAAATTCCTATTCTAACATCCTTCCACAGAGTTGAGAAGTTCTGTACTGAAAATACTACTACATAAACATTGTCAAACAATCCAAAAACATTTAATACCTTGGTCAGGTTTGTGTCGACATCTTCCGGCTCACTTTCCTGCTTCTCATTATTGACGGCGGCCGAGGCCATTCGAGAGGCGATAGGTACAGTTATATTCCCGGCCGGTGGTGCTGGCGCAGTGACAGTAGGTGCCGCTTTCGGTGTCCTAAGATTTAGTTTTACGCTTGCGAGAGGATTTCGTGGAACGGATGCCTCACCCAAATCGCCTGGCGAAAACTTCAGAGGCATGTGACCTGGAGGCAAAGGCTCGGGAACTAGATGAGAGACTGGTAGCGTCGGTTGTTCCATCACAACGTAGGTTGAGCCGGATCCCGGAAGTTGTTTTCCAATAAAGCCGCCTGCAGTTCCACCTCCGCCTCCGCCTCCGCCTCCACCACCAGCTCCACCTCCAGCTCCACCTCCAGCGGCACCACCGGCTTCGCCTCCTGTTGGTGCTACTGGGGCGGCAGGAGCTGTGGGTGGCTTTGGATTCATGAGGTTGTTTGTCACCTGACCGGCGGCCGACCCGGCGAGACCGTCGAATGTGACGCCGGCAACTAGGTCGAATAAGTCTCCTGCTGGATGGCTGCCCTTCTCGGCCTTGTCGACCACCGTCTTGAATGTAGCGATATGACCGTGCGGCCGGAACTCCTCGTTGGTGGCGCTGTCTACCGCCGTGTATAATCCGTCGACGGCCGCGCCGCCCGCTATTCCACCCACGTACGCACCCGCCGGACCCGCCACCATAAAGCCACCCACACCTGCGCCTAGTACGCCTACACGTAATATTACCAAAAATTATTCCTAAGTTGACAGGAAAAGTGGAAATTTTCGACAAACCGGCAGTGCGCGAGGCGCTCAGCATGGCATTATGGCCGCCCTCTGTGTCACCACATGCGTAGTGCACAGCACCCTTGATGTGGCCGATCACTGGAACACCGTTGACCACGCCGCTCATCGTGCTCACGAAGGCGTCCGCCGTCGCGTTTGCCGCTTCCTTGTCGTCATTCAGCATGTGCACTGCCATCTTCACCTGTGACACCACAGGACATGTATTGACGAAGTTTTCCTGTGTGCGCATGGCTCCTTCCAGGTCGCCCGTCACCACTTGAAACAGCGACTTGGCCTGAGACAATCCTGAAATGAAGTCGATAGTTCATTGTTAGGTAAAGTGATATAAAACAAAGTGGAGCCAAAACTGATCGTGCCACGTTTTGGGAGTCAGAGATATTCAATCAATGTGAAGCAAGAAAGTTTCATAATTTTCGGTTTGTTTCGCAATATCTCTCAGGAATGAATTCCTCCAAGAAAGCTAACCTGGTATCCAGTCCATGCTGGTCGTGATAGTCGATTAAAGTATAGACTGACGTGCTCACTTGTACAGTCTTATTAACGGTAGAGGAAAGATGTTTTTCCGGTGATAAATGATCTGTTTTATCTAAAAGAAAACGAAGTATTTATGCAAAGAGAAACGGGAAGAATCCAATGAGAGTGTGGGCGTGAGTATGATTATGCAGTATAAAGATTCCACATTCGCGCTCTCACGCAACCAAAGTCATACATCCACACGTTCAGGTAATCCTATCAGTATTGTTGAGTATTAGCTCGAATCAAAAATATAAATTTATAAATCTGTCTTTTGCTTTCTGACTATTCTGACATGAGTTCCTCGTGTTTTATTTATATTTGAAGTCTTTTTAGATAGCTACATCTCCATTTATATTCGGCTTAAAATTAGCCATCTCATGTTGATATAGTTATTTCTCTTGCTCGAATCATAACAACAGGAAGAATAAGTTCGTCTTTGATTGGCGCATCACTGTTTCTTAGTCTCAGTTTGTCATCTACACATTATGACTGAATAAAGCTGACCATCATTTAAAAAGATTGTTAGAGCAGCTCATTTGGGGGATAAAAGGTGGAAGTCACATATACACTGAAAAAAAGGTGTCACACGGAACCCTTTCAGGTTTCGCTCTTCACGTTTCATAAAATTCGCTACGCAGTATCGGATAAAGGTTTCGCTGAATAGTATACACTACTACTAAAGCAGTTTGCACGGCTATCCAATACAAGACTCATGCATAAATCTCGGCTTTCGTAGCTCTCTCAACAACAAAAGTACTGGCGATCTCAATCTGTTTAACGTATCTTCTCACGGCTCTATCACTACTATTCCGATTGCCATTTATTGAGCTATGCAACACAACGTCCACTATCTTAGTACTTAGACTCTCTCATCGAAACCGAGAACCAGACAATACAGATAATTCATTTTGGAATAACACCCACACCCACAACCACAAAGGATATTATTCTTTTGCCTGAGCTTTATGAAAAAAATGATTGATTCTTTTGATACGTTAATGAAAATAATAGCACTACTGTGAAGAACCTAAATAGCAAATATTCGAATATATTAATTATACTAGTACCTTCCGAATCATAGAATTCTGCATCAACCTAAATAGAGAATTAATTAATTGGTTAATTCTAATGGTAACTTACCAATAATAGAATTCCTCCTAAAATCTAAATAGAAAATAAACGCATGTATTAATTATAATGGTAACTTATCCCTTATAGAATTGTTGCGGAAGCCTAAATAGAAAATAAACGAATTAGGTAATTCTAATGGTAGGTTGCCAATGATAGAATGGTTCCAAGAATCTAAATAGAGAATAAATAAATTGATTGCTTTTAATAGTAATGTATCCAATAGTTGAATTCTGAAAGAACTAAAATAGTGGATGAATGAATTTATCGTTTATAATAATAACTTACCAATAGTGCAATTCTCCCAAGAATCTAGATAAAACAAAAATGAATTTATTAAAGCTTATGGTAACTAACCTTTAATACGAAAAATTATGGTTCACGTATGATATGATGTACGCGCACATTGTACAGTCAAACTCCAAAACTTGAATCAGCACTAAATAAAGAAAAAAATGCGATAAGACACGCACATCAACTAGTCGTTGCTATAGATTCAGCAATTGTTTTTGGGATAATAATTGAACTATAGTAACTGCTGGATCGAAGATCTAATCTAGAATAATTAGTTCAATGTAAAATAAAACAATAATCTTAACAAAAAATATAGCATTGTGGGTAATCATACTTCGATAAAAGAACCATTAGATATGTGCTACGTTCTTTATCATAATCGCTGGAATCTGATGAGAGAAAATAGTTAGCAATTAATGTAATAAAAATATTTCCAGGATGAGTTCAGATGTCTGTCGATGAGATTTGATCAAATCAGATTAAACGAAATTGTGAAAGCACCAGCTGATTTTACCATTAATCATGCAGTTGTTCTGTTATACGCAATGCCGAGAGAGATCGCTTTGCTGTTTTCCGATATGCCATGAATACTCTCTTCACGAGGTATTTTAACAAACCTTTTTGAATGCAAAACTCAAAAAGGTTTATGACGAAATCTATTGCAAATCACAAATTCGAAAAAGTTCACATCGAAACCTTTTAAATTTCGGAACTCTTAAAAGTATATTACAAAGCCTTGCATTTTGCTGACCCTTGCACAGGTTTCGTATAATTCCACTGACACCTAAAAAGTATAATACAGCTCCACGAAACCTCGAAGGTTCCGTTTGGCGTCTTTTTTTCAGTGTAGGTATTAGGGGTGGACCATTTTTTTTAACGGAACTTAATTAATGACTTCCATTAGCCATTAATATTAATGTCAATGTTCCCATGAAAACATTAATTTTTCCATATTAGTGAATTAGGCTTTTCTTAGGAAATATTATCTACTATTATTAATCAATTAACTGGTCTTAATAGCTAATGTTTTCTCCGAAAGTGTTAATTACTTAATATTAAATTAATGTTAATGGCCCACTCCTAGTAGGTATACATAAAAAACCGATCCTTGATGCATTTTTTACTAACTAAAAATTATGTTTTCATATATTTACATTGATAACGACAGTCAAATAAAATTAAAATTATTCATAAATAAGTATGGATTTCTGCTCTTAAAATGGAATTGGTTTAGTGATATAAATGAGTTGCATAAAAGAAATGAACACGCGAAATTCACCAATCTTCCCTCCAATCTCTGTCTGTTGTTTTCTGGTTAAGATTTTGCTTTTTCTGTGTTCTCCTTAGCTTCTTTCTTTCTATTTGATGTACTTAACTCCATATAAATATGTGAAATTTTTCGATCGTTTTTATATCGTTTATCATATTACGCCTACATATGAGCAAAGGCAATATTTGTTATAATGATATTGATCGTAACTGTAAAATTTATTACTTCTATTATTATTTAAATATCATGACTCGTTTTTGTATTATCATGTAAACACTGCTGAGTGTTACATTTAAGAACGTAATAAAAAAAAAGAAAGATTATCTAACTCATACTTACACAGAATGTATGAGTGAGACGAAGATCCGCGCTCACATATCAAAACAATCACTAATCGACGATCCACTAGTCGACGATCTTGACTTCGATATATCCAGATTCTTGTTTTTCTTGAATACCAGACAAGATTCTTGCCTGTTATTCAAGAAAAACATAATCTTGTCTGATTGCTCAGATGAATAAGAATCAGGCAAGAATGGCAATATATTCAAGATTTTTTGAAATTCAGACAAGAATCTTTTTTCTTTTCCTTTTAACGATTCTTATTATATATTAAAGAAAAATATCACGTAATGTTTTGTGTATATATACTTATAAATATATAGAAGTTTGAACATTATATCTTTTTTCTAGATGACGCGGACGAACTATAGCAGATATATTTTTCAAATAGACAGTTGTGTTCAAGTGTTTTTCGTTTCATTTTGTTGTACGCGTTATGAGCTTATTGTATATTTCCTTGCACATGTAATGTACGTTTCTTGTATTTTTCTATTTGAAATTAAAATATAATAGGATCGAAAGGAGGCAATCGCATGGATGCCTAAATGAAATTCATTTGTATTGCAAGAATTTTTTCAAAAATGGCAAGAATTGTAAGAAAACAAGAATCAGACAAGAATGCAAGAACGCAAGAATCTGGACAGATCGAAGTCAAGATCGTCGACTAGTGATAAACCTCTGTAGTGAGTCATATAGACAATATGAAAGAGAATCAAAAGATTAGAGAGCTACGAATAACATTTGTCTTGAAATAGAAAAAAATAGCATAGTAATGCTGCACGAGATTACGTCTTAACTAGGAGTGACCCGTTATCTTTACTATTCCTTAAAATAAAAGATTAAGATAAATAAATCATTTATATTTAAAAAATAAAGTAACAGCAAAGGAGTACCTTTAGTCTTAGCGCTATAGGTTATGTCTATTTATTTTGATTACAAGATATGTCGAAAAAACTTCGTCAATGATGCATAAAAATAATTGCAATATTAAGAACTTCTTTCTAACAACCTTTGTTGTGATTCAGAACAAGCCAGAAATAAAATTTTTGACCATAAAATGATTTTTACTTTACTTTTCGTTCTACTCTTGTAAATAACGACGACAGAACTAGCATCAAAGATCAAAATAGTATAATAAGTCACGATGTCGTTTGTTAATGAATGTCATATTATATGTAGCACTGATAAAGGGAGGAAAGCTGTCGGAGAATGTCAAGTCCTTTTATCCGTTGCATATCGGAAATAATGTTATGTTCTTTTATTCTATGTAAATTTGCACGTTGTTATGAAGAGAACGCGATTATTGGCTGAAGTAAATATCAGCGAAAAACAGGCGAGCGTCAAATATCAAAACAATATATAATAAAACGAAGCATGGTTTGCTAATCTATGCCATATTATATGTAGAACTGATAAAGAGGGAGAAGCTGTAGGAAGATGCCAAATCTTTATATCTATTAGAGAATCCCTGTTCCCTTCTTGATGCTCTTTTTATTAAGAATCAAAAGAGATAACTTTAAGCGAGAAAAGAGAGGATATTATATAAAAGAGAATACAGTATCAAGGAATGCGAGTTGAATAAACGCATTGTGAAGAAAGAAGTTAGTCAAGGAATGTAAACATATGACTAACAATATCATTGCGTATTTTTAATAATCTTGAATGTGGTGTGGGTAAGGAGTGTGGATCTGACAAGTACGAACACCCACACACTCGCATCTACACCCTCAATCTATTTTGAAACTCTTGAAAATGTCTATCGAATGGTAAATATGAGAACAGTTCTAGACTGAAAAACAAATGGTGTCACACGAATCCTTTGAGGTTTCGTGAAACTTCAATGTATACTATTAGATATCGAACCAGTCCACGAAACCATTTTAAGGTTTAGTAATCAAAGGGGTTCCGTAAAAAAACTCTTTATATTTTTGGTAGTCGAAAAGGTTTCGTATGATACTTTTTTTCTGTACATTTATGCTGCCGACAGATGCTGACTCATTAAAAAAATTGTTCAGCCTCGATTATTTCATTCGTTTACGTATTTATCAGCCACTAGTAATCCAGTTTCAATATTGTATAACTGTATATTTAAGCTCACACGTTTTCGTGCCGATCTCTTCCTAGAAAAAATAGAGAAGGACTTCACTAATCTGGCAATGAACTTAAACATTTTTCTTGTTAAAAATACTGCCTATGCCTCCAACATTATTTCAGGCTCCCTTTTCATGAATTACTACACTCCTCAGTTTATTCCAGTTTTCACAGCCCCTTATATTTTAAATCGTTGATTATTCAAATCGCAGATTTTTAAATATAATAAAACGATTAGTTGCTTGCCATTTTATCTAGCTGGAGATCTTATTAGTTTAGAACAACTTGATACATCTCATTTCGGATTTAACTTAGACAATCGCAAGATACAGAAGAACACAAAAAGAGATAAGTTTTAAGGCTTAGATAAGTCTAAAGTGTTCAGATAATTCGTATACGAGATTTGACGATCGATGTCATCCTAACAAAATAATCCTGTTCTTTTTTTAGACTTCAACCGAATACGTACATTCACCAATAGCTTATATTGACAAGATACGTGTTTGTTTTATGCTAACGCTAACTTAACACGAATGCTGAAGTATTGAATTACTGTTTTAACACAAATACAAAAGTTTTAACAACTATTTGTGTATCCACTCAAATTCAAATGGTCCAATGTGGACAGAGTTATGAGGATTTTGATATATATACGTGATGATCAATAGTTGCCACAAGTGACATTTAGAAACAAGTAACGTTCATCGACATCGAAAGTCGATTCACTGGGCCCTAGACTGGCAGTGCTGAGGAGAAGAAATGCATGGATAGGACAGAAAATCGGTTGTCTGTGCCAGCAGCTGGTGGTCATATTTTTAAACAGATCAGCAAAGGGGGTGGGCACAAGTGAAACTGAAGTAAGAATTAGGCGAAAATTAAAGGTTTCAAGTAAAAGCACTAAAAGTGAAGACGAAACACGGACGGAATAGGACTCTAAGACCCTTAAGGCGGCGTAGAGGTTGAGTCTTACCTAGCTACAAAAAACAAGGTTCAGAAATATCGTGATAGTTAGCTCAAAGTTCCGTGAGGGGGATCACTTCGCCCTTCACTTACCAAATATCCAGAGCGGACTGTTTCCCGTGACCACGTCCTGCAGCCACCCATGGTTTGTGCCGTAACAATGCCCTTAGTACCATGGAAATGGTCCTTTGTGCCATGGAAATGGTCGATTTTACCACAGGAATGGTCAATCGTGCCACAGGAATGGTCAATTGTACCATGAGAATTGGTCAATTGTGCCATAGAAATGGTCATTTGTGCCACAGAAATGGTCAATTGTGCCATGGAAGTGGTCGTTTGTGCCATTGTTACAGACAGACAGACAGACACAGGTGAATTACGGTTTCTAGACCCTATCCTTTCAGTCTAGGGAATAAGGGTTTTGACAAAGCTATAAGTCATTAAAAACAGTTACAAGGGAATAGATATATTTGTAACGAGCTCGACATATTTATGGGAAGTTGCATACAGTTGTGAAAGCATTATCGTAGAAAAAAAGTGTTACATAAACATATAATAGCTCAGACATAGTTATAAAAATTCATATACACTTTTAGAAGAGTGAATACAGACAGAAGGAGTTCGATGTCGAGCTCATAGATTAAAGATAGAATTGACGGGCCACTGTAAATAGAAGGCACTGAGTATATAGTTTATAAGCTAAATATAGAATTTCGGCTTAAAGATAGAAATGACAGCTTACATAAACAAAGAAGAGATAATGATGGAAATAAGGAATTAATCTTTAAAAGTAATTGTTTCGTAGAAAACTGGCGCTCTCTCGGAAACCGTTTTACAAACCTTTAGAGGTTTTCAAGAATGTTTATCAACACTTGAAGAGTTTCGGAGAGTAAATTCTTTGTTTGTAAAGGCTCGAAAATCCATAAGTTTCCGATATGACTGATTTTGTCCTAAAAATCAAAGGCTGGAATGATAGAAACGAAAATGAATTGTACTTTTCTTTTGGATTCTTCAAATGAATTTCGTTCAAAGGCTAAGATACATTGAAGAATAGAAACATAATGCCAAAATTAACTTTTCTCTTTAATCCTGTTCAAATGAATTGCACCGACTTGGTAAGTTATATTCGAAAATTAAAAACTTATGTCTATTTTTCCTTTTGTTTTAGATTTTTTAAGTGGTTTTCCTCCGAATGGTAAATGACGTTCAAGAATGAAAACCTAACATTAAAATTTCCTTTTCTATTTTCGATTACTCAAATGGATTTCATCTAATTGGTGAGTTCGGAAACCTGCGACGGATTTATCGGGAAGCAACTTATTTTTAGAAAATACACAAAATTAAGTAGTAAGGTATATAAGTAAGGGGTTACACTGAAAACAAAAATGGTACCACACCGAACCCAAAAACGTTTGTTCAACTAAAAAAAAGGTTTCGTACATAGTAAGTATTAAGGGTTGCTGCTCCCCTTCGTTTATTACTAAAATCGATAACTCATAACAAAACAAACAACAACATGTTGTACACATACACTTATCTCTCCTTCTCTCCTCCGTTGAGAAGACAACATATATATTTATACGTTTATATATATGACGATAGATATGGCAGATGATTAGATAGAAGAAGAAAAGGAATGGCATAATAATATGTGAGGGTAGGCCCGTAACAGTCGAGCCCCCTTGAGAAAATGTGTGTCCGCACGCACGGTTCAGAAAAACAAACAAACATATTAATAAAAATATGACGATAAGCTATACATTCTCCATAAAAAAAACACAGCAACAACGAACAAGCAAAGGAGAGAAAAAAATAGATTTTTCCACTAATAAATCTGACTGTTTATCAAGAAGCAAAAGAAGACGAAAGAGAAGAAAAAAAACGAGGATTAAAGAAAAGTTTGACCTATATTTTAAAAAACTAATTTCCTTATTTATCTGGACGTAATTTCTTGCGCATATTATAATAGTTTTTTTTCCGTGAATATGCCATTGTGTAATGTCTCGTCAACGTTGTTTTGTATTTGCTCGTTCTTTACTCCCAAGAATAACGTGCTTCCGACGACATTGATGTTCACGTAAGGAATATGCATAAATATTAAGATTCTTTTCATATCTGTAATGGTAAATTTATCATAAATTTTCCGAATGATTTCATATCGATATCTTTGAGCTCGATGTTTGCGGTTTTGTCGTTGATTTCTTGTTAATGGTTTATGATTTATATATTGTTGATTTTGATCGTTCATTGTGTCATGTTGAATGCCATCATCAGACATGTTTTCAATTTCATTTGAAGGTTCATCTCGCACATGACCCCCTTACTCCGTCATTTTCTAATGATGCTTCTGATGGATAACATTTCTGATGCAAATGCTGTTGTAAATTAATGAGTTATAAAAATTGTTCTTGACAAGCATAACATTGATGTTGTTGTTCTTCACGACGTTCTGTTACACAGTTAAAGTCCGTAAATCGGACCTTCCTCTTTTCACGGAGTAACGAATCACAGACACTACTCTTGCGAGTGTTGTTCCTCTTATAAATAAATGATTTAAAATGTGTTGGTTGATATGTTATCAATAAGAGCAAGATGGCGTTGTAATGAATCAATAATAACATTGTTTTGCATAATCCAGTCGTTTCCAAGTAATAGATGAGTAATAAGATTCATTGCAACATCCGCTATAATTAAAGTTTTATGTCCTTGTATTTTAACTTCAAGTTGAATTTCACTAATAATATCAATAGACGTACAATTAGCTGATTTGTGTAATTTCTTCTTGTAAACGAGTTCCGTGTGATAAATCTTTTTTAATAATTGTTGATTAATAAGTGTAACTGCAGATCCAGTATCGACTATGGCTTGATGTTGTTTATTATTTACTTGAACATTTATATAAATAGGAATTAGTAACGTTGATGATGCATAATTAGTTGTTGATACTGTATTTGCAAAATATGACACATACGGTGCTGTTGCTGAGGTTCTGGAACATTTTCATCTTGTAGTTCTTGTTCATCTTTCGTAATTTTTAAAAATGCGTGTGTGGTTCGAGCTGATTCGGATAATGAATTCATTTGTCGTTTAATTTTAATTTTTAATGCCATCTTCTAACCATGATATCATCCTTCGTTGTGATATAGATGCATCATATTTATGACAAAGTTTAATAATAGCATCATAATAAGATGTAACTGTTTCATCTAATTTCTGTTTATGTTCTTTTAATTGTTCGAATATTTTTGATGATGAATCAGACGTTGTAAATCTTTCAAACAATGACGATTTTAATTGTTTCCATTGAATGAATGATATATTATCTTCGTACCAACGTTTTGCTTCACCATCTAATTTTGCCGCACATATACAATATAAAATATTATCATTTGCATCGATCATTTTCCCAATTCTTTCGATATTGTTGCTTAACATTCACGATAACATATCATTATTGCTGAATCTTGTATTTTGTTAGTAATTTATCTTTATTTTTCTGTGACAGGTAATTCAAAATGAATTTCCTTTAATTAATTCCAAAATTTTAATTTGTTCAGGTCACTCCTAATCAGGAATGTTTTCTGGTAAGAGTTTTATTATAATTAATAATAAAAATAGTCTGTCACGGCACCAAATATTAGGGGTTGATGTTCTCCCTTCGTTCATTACTAAAATCGATAGCTATGAGGATAGATGTGGCGGATGACTAAATAGAAGAAGAAAAGGAATGACATAATAATATGTGAGGGTCGGCACGTAACGGTACGGAACCTAAAAGAGTTTCGATTTCGTTTCAATTCTCTGAACCCTTTTAGGTTTCGTAGATAAAGCAAGAAGCACTTGAAAAAGTATTTTAAGTATATGGTCATTATTTTCAGGTAACTGAAGTTTTTATGAAACCTTTTTGAGGGTTCCATATTCATTTTAAAAAATGTTTGGTAATCATACTAATTATTTTCTAGTGCACCGAACCATTTTCGAAATAAATACGGAACCCTCAAAAGGTTTCGTAAAAACTTCGGTTACCTGAAAATAATCGCGATAGATTTAGAATACTTTTTCAAGTGTTTCTTGTTTTATCTACGGAGCCTTTTGTTAGCCCAACAAACCCTTTTGGGTTGAGTATGCTACTTTTTTTTCAGTGTAAGAATAGGAATGAGGAATTAGGGATAGAAGTAAGGGGTTAAGGGACAAATACAGGGTTAGATATGCCTTCAATAGACCAGATACGGGTCTCAAGCATGGATAAACGTTACGAGAGCTCTGTAGAAAATGAATTCACAGTATATTTATGTTTGGGCGATATCATACGAAGTACCATACAAAGCATTGACTAGGAAACATTTTCTTAAGCTAGAAAAAAAATGGGTTTCTACAAAACTATACGATCAAACACTGCAGATGGTCCTCATTATTACCGAATATTTGATATTGTTCGTTTGCATAATCAAATCATACGGCATTAGCACTTATTTATCTCATCGAACGTGCTCAAAAAGAATTGATTTTTCCGCCATCAATTTCAGTTCCGGTTAGTTGTGAACGACGTTGGACTTTCTGTTGATCCATCCTTGAGAAGCTCAAGTGATGACGCTTTCAAAAAAGAAATGAGAGCAATTCTACTCAAGTATACTAGTCGGTCTATTTAAAATTCAAACATCATTAAGATCTAAAACAAACTAAACTTCTGATATATGACTTCATTTTGGTACCAATCTAACTTGAAAATTCTTGTTTGTTTGTGACACTACAGGATTACAATTGCAACAATCAAGATAAACAGAACATTTTTGAGTCAAACAAAACAGTCTGAAATGCTTTTATGATAAATACAATATTTCTAAAATCAATTTACACTGATATTGAGAATGCTTCCAAATAAAAGTCTTTAATTGATTTAGAAAAGAAAGTTCTTCCGATTGTTTTCTTTCCTTTGAGAAAATCATGATTCAGATTGACTTGTTTATATCATTTTAGATTTTGTGTGAGTAACCATAGAAGAATATTCTTGTTTGTTAGATTATTGTGCACAGATATTGAAGGATATGATTTTTTCCATTGCTACTCACCCATTCGTCATTGCTAGAAAATGATTTAGCAAACAGTATGATCAAGTTGTCGGAAAATTAATCGAAGTTATGAATTTATTTTTAGATAATGATACAAGAAGAATTGATTCTACTTTGCAAATGTCAAGTAATTAGTCATACAATGACACGAGTCCAGTTATGTTGTATCGTTCGAATATAACTACGTTAACTTTGTATTCGATTCATTGTTCGGGTCATTAGAATCTATGTGGATGATTTCATAACCACGCGCTCGAGCGATTGTTGATTGTTTAGACGGTAAACTCGCACCTATATCAAATGTAGTAATATGACAGATAAAGTCTTCAATTATAAAGAGTCATGAGGCAGGAAGATTTAGACTAATAAGTTAAAAGAAGCGCACAGAATTCAATAAGATGAAAGATTATAATTTGTTAACCTATGTAGAAAAATGTTTAATTATGACAAAGCAGTTGTTGAGATTCTTCTAAAACAAGATACTTGACTCAACATATTTCCTTGATGAAAATAAGTTTGACTATCTAACAAGTTAATTCGTAACCTCTTGCTCGAAGTAGAAATATTCGAAATTCCCTCATTTCGTTCTGTTTCACAGAAAGAAGCTGATAAACTTTCTATTGAATCAAAAATAAACTTGACTGGCGAAGTTATAGATTAATTGCTTACAAATAATAGGTTGCGCCATTGCTTGGGCACAAAAACTTGATTCGAAACGTACCACTGGCGCCAAAAGTGGAAATGGTGGCATTGTTTCTTTTAGTTGAATAATATGAAGATCAGCCCTAGCGTCAATACATGAGACCACTTCGAAGTATGTGCCAGGACAGAGTAGTATTTCGTCGTCGGATGGATTGTAGGAATGTTTTCGAATGTCTTTCCCTGAAAAACATTCGATGGCGAATAGCGTTTTCGGACCTGACTTGCCTAAAACCCGTTTGGATTCAAAAGCCTCAATTGAAGCAGTGCACGATGAGAAACCCCACCAAATCACTGGTTTTCCTTTCGTATATTGTAATTGTAAGTCTAACTCGGTCCATCGATAAACGTTACAACGTGAAGTATATGGAAGACGATTAAATGCAGTTAAAAAGAGTTTGAGAAATAGAAACCACGGCTTGAGAAGTGGTCTTTGCCCTGACCGAAGAGCTGCATTCAGAGCGACATACAAGCACTCATCGAATGGTTCCCAAACTGTTGTATAAAGCATTATTGCAGCTGATTCATCCAGTGAGAGACCATCAGCTGATTCTTGCCACCCTTGTTTCGTCATACAAGCATACGTTTGAATATCAGGTAGAAAAGATTCGAGTGGCGCAACTGCTACTTCCAACGAAACAAGTGGCATTTCTTCATATCCGCCGATGGGTTGTAGAAATCTGAGTGGCTCTTTAACAATATCGGTCAGTCGTAATATGAAATGATCTGATTTTTCGCCGCTTGCACTTGTGGCCATCTTGAATTTGTAAATAATTTAAATGGTTACTAGAGAAATAAATATATCTGAAAAAGTGAACCATATTCTTCAAAACTCATTACTTTGTCGTTTCGTTCTGAATATTGATAACGATATTACTTACTCCTACACCCGACGGTTTTCCTTTTTTCAAGTTAACCGTTTTCAAATTCCATTTCAAAGCATTGATTATTCTCATATATCCTTAACTATGCTTCGTGTGCGAGAAAAACATTATGAAATGTAAAAGTAAAAGACATGTTTTCAGTTTTTATTTTCTTCATTCTTTCTCATCAAAGACAAAATGAAAAAAGAAATACTTCGTAGAAAAAAAAGTTTAGTTGGAAAGAATGAGGCGATAAAAATACGTTTCGCTTATCGAGTTGAGAATTTAAAGAATTCAACATTTGTTTACCGACACAGAAAACAAGCGACGTATATAATTCTCATGTTTCTTTTTTGTAAAGACTTATATTTTGTTGATTGAGTAATAAAACTATTTGAGAGAAGAATAGTTAAAGGATATTCGCTCCTGGTGCAACTCTTTTTGAGACAAATCAGTGATGCAGAGGAAATTTCTGACGATGAATATTGTACGCGATGATACCACCAGAAACAATTTAGTTTCTATCTAAGCAAATGAAACAGTGAAGGGTTTCGTCTCGTCAAATTCAAGTCAAGCATGTTCAGAAAAAAAGAATTTCTTCATTTTTATTGATGAGAACAAAGTCATGTACAAATCTTCATGAATAAAAAAAATGATTTGTTAGTAAAGAGTGCTTATATATTGATAAATTGTGATAACATCTTTAATTGATATATAAAAGAAAATGTGCGAATAAATTGTATTTCCATGTAACAAAATAAGGTCTACCGATGAATATGGGGTGCCGGTGCAAGCCCCACACCTGCCCCTGCCCCTGCATGTGCATGTTCAAGATGAAAGTCTTTATCGCCATGGACACCTGCCATATGCTCTCGAAATCTACACGGAAAACAAAACAAATATGTTGCTATGAACTTTTAAAATTAACGTCTATCATACTTGTCAAAACATATTTGCGACATGTCGCGTACTGATGAACCAGTATGAACCATTTTGTAGAGCGACTAAAATATATTTGAAATGGACATTTTTCGGAAAGATAAAAAACATTTAACTTACAAGAAAGATAAGAATATGTACGAGAATAAAATAAATAACAAAAAATGTTCGACTCTTATGTGATGATAAAATAAAACGGCCGAAATTTAACGCGAATTTTTCATGTAATTTAAGCGATTCATATTTCTTTTGTTTTTCCTTTAAAATAAATTCGAAATTCAACAAAAATTTATAATTTTAACGTCAAATTCTTCTATACTTGTTTAGTAAAATTTGTAAACGGATCCAAAGAAGCATCATAACCACGTGAATAACGATCAATAGATTCATCGGCTGCTCGTGTTGTCTATAGATACAAAAAATATTTCGTAAAACTAAAAGATCCATAATAAAACACATACAGGATACGATTGAATAAACTTTATTTTTTCATATAATTTAATATTATCTGATCGAAGTTTATCCATTTCATTTTGAAATATACCAATTTGTTGTTTTAATGAAACATTGTCCTAAAAAATACAGTAATAGATTCTTAGAAAATCCTCGATGTTGCGAATTACATTTTCTAATTCAATATTTCGAATACGAAATCGCTCTCGTTGGCTGATAACAATTGCTGTTAACGCTTCGTCTGATGGCGAATCGCGTGTTGAAGTATTCGTTAACGAATCATTGAATGATGTTGACGGTGCAGATGATTGATTTAATACATCCTTAATTATTCCAGTTTCGTTAACACTACTATCACTTGTTTGTCCCTAAATAAGAAACAAAAAAACAAAATGTCAAAAAGTAGGAAGAAAACCGGCAACCTCTGGCCCTCGTCGAAACAATTCGCTGACACCGCCAACACTCAATAAATCTTTTTCAAGTTGAGTATTCAATTGTTTTAATTCATTATTCGTATATTCGATATCTCGATAACGTTTGTCAATTTCATGGTACCGTTCTAAACAAAGATAAATTTATCTATCACATTAACATAAATATATATATGTATAGAATTTAAAAACAAAACAAAAAAATGGGATCGTTATTCATCTATAAATATTGTGTACCATAAGCGATAATCTTCTTGTTGTCTGCTGCTGCTGCTGCCTGCCTGTCTCTGTCTCTCTCTCTCTCTGTCCTATAAACCTGCAATAAATAAATTCAAAGCATATTCTATACAATAATAAAAGAAATAGAAAAGTTTATTAATAGTTCAACGAAAACAATAAAAACATCACATATACATCCGATTATTTCACAAGTTTGTTTGAAAAAGAACAAAACAAATAAAGCCGAAATACTAATTAATCATCTAACGGTTAATATTCATTTTCTTTGTTAAATGTATGCACTCTCATATTTATATTGCACACGTACACAACATTTAAAATACAAACAAAAATTGTTGTTTGCTGAAATTGAAAGAGAAAAACAAAAACAAAACATGAAACAACTATTCAAATAGAATTTATATCACGCCATTCATTTTCTATGTTGTTTCTTCGGGTTTTCTTTATATATATGCACTTATTGGAACAACTGAGTTTTGTCCACGACTAGTTTTCAATACTTGAGCAATACTCACAAATAGATAATACAACAAAACAAACAATAAAAATTTTTGAGCGAAAAAATGAAGCCAAAAGAAAACAGAATACGAAAAAAAAATGAAAATTACAAAATCACCAAATTTGTCTTGTTTTTTTTTGTCTCTCTCTCTCTCTCTCTCTGTGTTAATATATCACCTTGGTTATATGAAAATGAACAAAAATACAAAAAATACATTTTCAAGCATTATTATCATTATGAAGATTTATTGATTCATTCGTTGTTTGATTTAACATAATTGTTTCATCATTCTCAATGGTTGATGTTGACTTAATCGTTGGCTTTTTTGTTGTAATAATTTTTTGTGGAATCGATTTTCGTTTTTTACTACTGGAAACTGATGTTGGCGTTGATCCAGCGGATTTTTTATTGTCATTTAATGAAACTATGTTTATTGACGATGCAGATAAACTCATTGGACTATTTGAACTATCTGAATCAGCTGTATTATTAAACCATGAACCATTTAATGGTTCAATTATTGATAAAGTATTAGCGTCGTCGTCGTCGTCGTCGTCGTCGTCGTCATCATCATCATCATTATCATTTAAAGGTGACGCAGAAAGTTTATTTAGATCAAGAGAATGTCTACCAGGTTTTATTTTCATTCTCGCACTATGAAACCAATCGGATATTTTATTCATTGATAATGATAACTCATCGGCAACTTGCTGCAATTGTGATTTAGTTGGATATGGATCATTGTCAAATAACTGCTGTAATACATGATTTTGATCATCAGTATATGAATAGTGTTGTTTTGCAGGCGAAGAAGAATGATTCGTATTTTCTATGTCGATATTATCTGTTGCTGTTGTTGTTTGACTGCGACTAGTGCGTCGGAAAGCTGAAAAAGCAAAGGAAGTCAAAATGCTTATTCTAAAAAGAGTTTTTACCATCTCGTTCTTGTTTCCAAGCAAGTAGTTTTTGCACATTACCAATATCGTGAAACCAACTATACATACGTATGTATGGTTCGCGACCTTTGACACTTAGCGCATGCCAAGGTCGAGGTTTCGATAAGATTTCGCTGACTGTACCTTGAGAAAGATTAAGAACAGCTTCACCTAGATAAAATGAAAATAAATATACAATGAATGCGTTTATTGGTCGCTGTTTACCGAATACACGTTGACCAATACTATACGAAGAAAGTAGTTCACGAACTTGTGAACTTAATTGTTCAGTATCAATGGTAACTAAATAAATAAATAATAACAAATATAAATTAAAAGAGAAATGTAAAAGAAAAGAAAAATTTTACGTGGTAATGTTAGTATTGGTAATTCATAAGGACGAATTTGTGATCTGATTTTTGTTGGCTGTCGAAACTGATTATTCGGAAGTTTCGAACGAGCTTTTGATTTATTGTTGGTATTATTATTATTCATTGTTACTGTTGGTTCACTTAATAATAATGATGATGATGATAGAGTTTCATTTGCTAATAATTGGGAACAATCATTTGATTGAGAATCAATAGAATTTTCATTTGAAATTAAACTTTTCGATTGAATATCGTTTAATGCCGATGGTGATGGTGTCAATGAAACACTTTGTACAAGTTGTTTTAGTGCGCTTCCATCGTCGAGAAATGCACGCATACGTATAAATGGTTCACGACCTTTTTGTGTTAATAAGTCCCATGGTTTTGGTCGAGCAAGAATGTCACTGAAAATTAATTTATGAGTTTTTTTTAATGGAAATATGAAGGAGGGTCTATTTTTTATTTACTTACCTAACACTTCCTTGGGATAGGCCAAGAATTCGTTCTCCAAAATGTCGTTGTGATATACTATAACGACTTAGAATGTCTTTTACTGTTTGTACTAATTCGGCTGTATTGATCGAACGATATTTTGAAATATCTCGTTCAGTCAATGGTGAGAGCAATGCTTTAGTAGGTTTGACTGGCGATGCTTTATTAATTGTAGTTTGATCTGGATCGATTTTCATACTTAAATCAAGTGGATTTTCATCTACATCTTCTTCATTTTCTTGTTCATTTTCATCAATATCTAAGGGTTTCAATTGTTTGATCATAGCATTTGTTCGAACGATTTCTTGTAACATTAACCAATTACGATAATTTTCTGGTTGTGGACAAAGAATATTATAGGGCGAATAGATTTCATTTTTAAGTCTATTTGTTGTTTGCATTAATAGCGATGGAACAAAACTTGAAAACATTGAAGGAGGAATAAATGGTTTTTGTTCGACGGGAGAACTCGCACGAGACGATTCTGAAGATGACGATGGTGTACGAGATCGTTTGGGTTCATCAGATAGAACTTGTAGAGCTTTTTGTTGTGTTAATGGATATGCGTTATCTTTCGAACCTGTTGATTAGAAAAAAAATGCAGATTTTTATACTGCCAAACATTTTTCTTGCGTACCCTTACGTGGACTAAGACTTTTTAAGGCCAGTATGCTTTTTTCCGAATTAGCCCATGACCACATTTTTCGATAACTTTCTTTGCCTTTTTCAGTTAATTTTGACCATGCTTTTGGTTTTGATAATAATTCACTAACTGTACCTTGAGATAGACTTAGAATATAGCGAGCAAAGATTCGTTGGCCTATGTTATGTTGCGCAAGAAGTTTTCGCACAATATCAGCAACATGAGTTGTTTCAAGAGGCTCTAGACTATTGCTATTTGTTGGCACAGATATGGTGGGTTTTGTATCTGTCGATGTGACAGCAACAGTTGAAGGTGATGGAGTTGATGATGATGATGATGATGATGACGTAAGTGGCGGACAAGGAAGTTTTGTCCATTGAACTGAATTAAGTTGTGGACCTGACATTAAAAAGTAAAAAACATTTTGTAATCAAATTCGCTGCTTTTTGTTATTACCGGAATAGAGTTCGGACGGAGTTGATATTGTCGAAGATGAGATAAGTGGAGCAGTTGGAGTAATCATCGTTGGACACGTTGAATATTTGGTATCAATAGGAGTAGAGAGAGAGTTACATATTGATTGAAGATTATCGCTTGATGGTAACAGTGATATAACTTTTGATGGAGAAGTAACAAGAGGTTTTTTCATGTCCTCAGTAGTATTAGAACTAGCTGACTGAGAAGAGGTTTTTAAAGGATTCTGAAGAGGCGATGAAGGAGAAGAAAGAAGAGAAAGAGTATTTGGTTGATGTGAACATAAAGACGAATGGTGACGATATGAATGCTGCAGAATATTACCTAGATAAATATTATGATGAAGAAGAAAACGTTAATACAATGTGTATAATTTATATCGGTATGAGCTGTAGACTATGAATCAATAGGATTTTATTTTTTGATAAGGAGAACAAATTCCAACATAATATTTGCTTTATGATCGAATAATAAAACCTACTTTCAAGATCGGTGAATGCCACTTTTATTTGGGTATGTTCGCTTTGCAACGCTCGATTCTTTTCCAGTAGAAGTATTTCTAATGATTTCTTTGGTAAATTGCCCGTTTGCTCATGATTCGATTGATTGGATGAAGGAAATTCAATTGATTTTAAAATACTACAAGTAAAAGGCAAAGGGTAAATGTTTACCTGCTGTCTAAACCGTATGATCATAATATTTGACTCACGTCAATTCGCGCTTTATCTCGTCGTAATCTGCTTGATTGTGCAGTTTATTTTCTAGTTGTGCAATGTGTTTTTCTTTTGCAGTTAAAACATTTTCGAGATCCGATATCTGAATGGAGAACAAAAAGGCCGACATATATCCATAAATATCGTTATCAATTACTGATTCATATCTATGATGAGTATTCTTACCTGTGACAGTGATGTTTCTTTAATTTTAATAAGAGTCGATTGCAGTTTTTGTGTATCAACAACGAGTGTAGTTATTTCACGTTCTTTAGCTGCTAATTCAAATTCAAGTTTTTCACGTATCTGCTTTTCACTGTCTTCGTGTGACATGAGCTCATCGGAATTCTGATCTTTCGGTACGGATGCCATGAGTTTATGTGCTTGATCGAGTTGTTCGCGTAATTTGTCAACTAAACGTTCAGCATTGGACGCTCGCTATAAATTCGAAAAAAAAACAAAATTCTTTTTCATCAATGAATTTTTTAATTTGACTTCGTTAGCTCGTTCTAAATCTTGATTGAGAATGTCGATTTCAGATGAACGTGCACTTGTTGCATCTTCTTGTTTAGATTTATATTCGAACATTTCTTGATGTGCATGATCTAATGTTGATTGTAATTGCGTTTGACGCATTTCCATTTCGGCATATTTAGTGACGAGATCGAATTGTTGATTTTGTAACTGGCGTTCTTTTTCCGCTGGACAAAAACAAAGGAATATATTTATTTAGATGATTCTCTTATCAGTTTCGAATAACAACAACAAAAGCGATATGCATACCGAAGATACGTTGAAGTTCTTTTTCTTTTTCTTTAATACGTTGCTGAAATAATAAAAGGTCGTGAAAACAAAGTTCTTCTTTTATTTTTTTTTGCTGAAATTTTTTTTATCAATAATTCACCTGAATTGTTGATTCTGTTTTATCTTCTAAATCTTTAATTTTCTCACGCAATTGCTTGATTGTTACTTCTATTATGAAATTAAATTGAAACACAAACCAAAGAAGCAAAATTTTCTTTTTTACCTTGATTTTTTACATCAGCAAATTCATTATTGTATTCGGCTACATATTTTAAATTAGCAAAAAAATTCTTTTTTTAATGAAATTTTTTCCATACCTAATGTTTCTCGTAATTTTTGGTTTTCAACTTCAAGGTCAGATACTTTTTCTGCTCGTCGCTGTAATGTTTGAGCGTATTCAAGGGCTGGCACCGGATCTGAAAAATATCGTTTTATAATATTAAGAAAAACAAGAAATAAATACCAACCTGGCAGTTCACTTAAATGTCGATAGATTTCTAAAAATGCTTTTTCAGCTGCTTTACTCCGTTTTGATAAACTATCAATTTCGAATTGGAACGATTTTAAGATCGGTGCAACGGCTTTGCGCACATCCTACGTAGACAAATGAAGCAGTCAACAAAAAAAAAAGAAAGAAAGAAGAAGATAATAGAAATGATATTGTTATCGATTTGAGGGTGTAAGAGAATGTTTAACGGCAGGTAACAAATTTTCTTTTCGTAGGACTCACAAACCTTAGTGAGGATGATTAAAAGGAAAGTATCGCATTAAAAAAATGATAATGATAAGATGTTGGTTAGTATTCTATACTTTTTTTTTCTTTTTAAGAAGGTAATGTGTCCTATCGCACACGTAAATGAAAGAGAAAGACGAGACAGGTGATAGATTTCTTGTTGCTTCTATTCTATAAATAGCAGACAGGTTTCACTAAAAAGAGAAGTAGGACGTCGCGTGCTCTACGAATTATCTGTCCAAATAATTGCTCAATATGTTCACTTGCCAACCAATTACTATCGGAAATCAATCATGACGTGTTTCTCTCTCTCTCTCCCTATCAACCGACTCGAAGATGAGAACATACAAAGGCAAATAAAAGAATAGAGCGACAATGACTGTCTGCCATACATCTCTCTACATTATGAATATTTAATATCTGAGTAGAAACAAAAAAAAAATATTTCAATCATCATTCTTACTCTTATTCTGTAGAAGTGAATAATTGTCGTTTATTTTTCTTTCTTTTAGTAATCATTAAGTAAGATCGTGATAAAGGAAGTCTCACAATATTTATTTGAAAGGCAAAATGAAATGAATACGCATAAAGAGAGAATAATGTATCTTGCATTTTCATATAGACACTATCATTATAATGGCAAGAATCTATATGTAAAAGAGAAGAAGAAAAAGAAGACGAACATGATCGGAAACGTTTTGTATTTTAATCATCTGCTGCAGAGAAAACCTATAAGCGATGAATATGAAAAAAGAAAAGAAAAAGAAGTTTTATTAACAGGATAGACGTATACGCATCAATGATGATATAGATCGAGAAAGATTATTAGACATTCAGACTCTAGTGTCGTTGTTACTACGATCGATTAGTTGACTTCCTTACACCTTCTAGACATGTAGACGCTGTTGGATAGTAATATGACATTAAAATTACTTGCACTTTTAAAATTTTTGACAAGTTTTGCTTGAAAAATATTCTCATTTAATATATTTCATTCGTCTGAAGTAGACAAAGGTGTATTAGTTAAAAGAAAAAAACAATAATTTTCTCTATTTTAGTTGAAGAAGCAAACAAGTTTTCGATTTCTTTTATCGAAAAAATTATATGTTGAGAGAGAGCAACAAAAATGTTCACGATGCCGAACCATTAACTAACGCTAACAATCAGCTGATACACGCAACCAAAGGATCATCATATCGAATGATTATATCTAATTAAAAATTTCTATTTGAGATGTGTGTGTGTGTGTGTGTCTGTCAGAAAACGAACAAAATAAAGAATTGAGCTTTCACCTTCGAGAAAAAAATCAATTATAAAAGAGGAAATGGACCCTTGTCTATGATTAGCTCTAATGCCGATCCAACTTCGTCGGTGTTGTATGTGAATATAGAGAGAGTAGAATATTTCTTCTTGCGTTTTTTTCCTCATTATTCCGAAGATGCTGTTTGATCAAAATTTCAGGATAATGAAAAAACCAGAGAGCGAAAGAGAAAAGTCATCAGCCTAAACAGGATTTGACACTAGTCAACATATCATATGTATTCTATGTTGGTGCGCATGTGCGTATTTAGTCTCTATTCATTATTTGTTAGTAATATAAAGAAGCCTGTCTCATCTGTTGAAAAAAAAACATCAGGTAAGAAGAAGGAGAAAATGATGATCAAAGTCCAAGAAAAACACAATAGTAGTCGCTTTACATATTGAATATGTAAATCATTTTCTTCTTCTTGTCATTCTAGATACGAATAACATGAACTAAAGTCTGTGTTTTCATATGTTCATTATCTTTTTTTCAATAGCTAGCTATAAATTAAATCATAAGCTAGTTGATGGTCGTTTTCTTGACTGATTACAGAATACGAAAGGAAAAACACTTGCCTCTCTACCAAATCACATTGACACAATCGGTCTATTATCATACACATTGGCGAGATTATTCTACTGTGTTATTACTAAGTGATGATCAGTAGAAGAAGTAAAGAAGAAAAAACAAGACATGAAATTAAAGACTTTCCTCATACTCTTAGAAATGATAAATAGAGAAAAAGGAAATGTTTTTTCCCTACTCCTATTCTTTTCGATGGTCATTGAAATATAAAATTGACTTGATCCCTAAGAAGATCAAAGATCTGTGCACATGAACACCTAGAAAAATTCTCTGACTAATGATTAACAAGTTATTCCAATGAAATTTAAAACTCGAAGAAGTCAATTATTATCTTCCGATACTCGGATTTTGAAAAATTAACAAAATAAACATTTTGATTGTTACCAATATGGTGCGACACACAATGGTAGTTTAACTGTTAGTACTTATGGTAAATTGAATTTTTATTTCACTTTAAAAGATTAGAACAAGTATATCATGCGCGCATTCTCTGACTGTGACATATGGAAAGTGTGTGTGTATTAACAATTTCAACAAATGAATCAATGCAATAGTAGCAGTTGAGAAGTTCATTTAAATGAGAATATATGTTGCTAGCAACCAAGTCGATTCAAGTAGAAAACTAAAGTTATTCTTTTAGATGAAAGGCAGGGCAGTAGAGGAGAAGAGACAGAAAAAAATAACTGGAAAAATATAATTATTTACAACAAGGCCTTGACGACTTTGAGAGCTTTATTTCCTGTGTTAGACAATCGTCTTGAAACCAAACGAACTATTAGTATACAAGTTGAAAAAAAAGTTTGCTAATGATAAAATGAAAATTAATTCATTTATAAATCTACGCAAAATCATCCTGTTGTCTGAAACGCACAATCAACAAAAATTAGAGAAAGAAAAAAAGAGACCAAGGTGGAACAATCAGTCTAATCTAGTAATAAGCACGTACATGTGTATAAAACAAAACTATACGGGTTGACGAGAGAGAGAGAGCGAGACATACACTTTAACACGACTGCTGAAATTATGTATATCTGCTCTTTTACTATTTTGATTTAATGATCAATTAAAATAAGAATAGTGTAACAACTTACTTCATTGGTATTTTTCTTGAAATCTCGACTTAATTCAACCAATTTTCTTCTTGATTGATCGCTTTCATCGGCACGACTGGCTATTTCAGTTGTTGTTGCGTCTAGTTCATGCTAGAAGAAGAAGAAGAATAAAAACAAAATGCAAAAAAGTCGTTTTTCAAAGTCTATTTTGGTCTTTAAACTAAAATTTATCTTGTGATAAATAGATAGAAGAGAAAACATGTAGGAAATTATTATTGATCTCTCATATATATATACAAACAATGCACGTGGGTATCATCTTTTGTCAATATGAAGGGTGTACCCTATTTATTGATTATCTTTCAGCTGGTTCGAAAAGTGTTTTCTTCTATTGTCTTCACTATCAATACAATATAGTTGTACTTATCGATACAATAATGTATAGTAGTGATGTGCACACATACGCACACACATATATAGATGTATATATATATACATAAGCAGAGTTATCTGTCATCAATAGTAGAAATGATCATAATTAACAATCATAGATCGTTAGATATTTGTTGTTGACAATATCTTTTTTTCTTCTTTCTTACGACAAATATACACAGTGAAGAGAAGAAGAAAAAAGGAATTACAAAACTGGTTGTTGTCAATTCAAGATTAGGTTTATTCATCCAGCCTTTTGGGATAATGAAAAAGAGAGAGTTGATTGATATAGATTAGGCACGGCATTCGTTCTCAAGGAGGAAATCAGCGACGTCTTATGATGCTGCTATTCAAGTCAATGTCGGTTCTCTTTATTTATTTTAGCTCGATAAACGAACAAGGAGAAGAAGATTGTTCGTCTCTATTACAACTCGTCTTATCTTCATCTATATAATGTGTGTCAATATCCAAGTACGAACTGCCTCATGGGATATACCAATAAACACAACGGCAAGTTCTACCCCTGCATTGATTGTATGCTTCTCAGATCAATCATCATACGCAAACAAGCATACATACATACAAGATGCAATATCTTCATTTTTCTTTGTTTCAAAATGCATACCAACACATAGACATATACATATTCGCTTAGCGATGTCGATCAGACTATTTAATCATCTAACTACGAGGAAAAAAAAATACGCTACCGAATCGACAATATTCGTTATACACAAAAAAAGCAATCATCATTGGAATTTTCGTTTTGTTGAAAAAAGCATAGTTTCACATATACCTATTGACTACGTAGATACTTTCATTTTGTTCTCAATTTCAATCACTTGAAATTCCATCACGTGTATTAATATTGGATATTAAAGATACTTACGAGAACAGCAGCAACCGAAGTATTTCCAAAAAAGACGATCTATCTATCTGTATCATTATCGACAAGTATAATAAGTAGTACACGAGCGAACGAGCCAACAAAAACGAGCGGGAGAGAGAGAGAGAGAGAGAGAGAGGGAGACAGACACGCAATGGACAAGAAACAGAGAATTCTAATCACAGAAATATACAGTGACCGTCAAAAATATTCAACCACCTAAAAAAATATTTTTGCTTGTTCTATATTTGATAAAAAAAAAGTGACTGGAGATTGATAACTTTTACCATGTTTTGGACCACAGTGTCTAATACGTTGGAGTTTAGTTTCATATCAGAACTTCGTGTTATTGATTTTTTATTAAAATGAAAAAAAAACGTGCGTCATATATTTCACGCGTCAAAATTATCCGACAGCTTGTGTTTTTACTCTATCTTTACGCTCATCTAAACATAAAGTTTTCTACACGATGTGCTAGTTTCTTTTTTGATTGGTATACAGAAAAAGTCTAAAAAATAGTGTTTTGAACAGTCGGCTACGACTTTATGAATATAAGGCTGTGGACAGACAATTTTTTCTACTAATGATCGGACAAATCTACTGGATACTGTACTGTTAGGAAGAGCATTAAAAACTGTACTAGATAGGAAGTTTAAATGAATACAGTGTGGCATCTAGTTGAAATGAACAGATCCAAAATTTACACCAAATGGGTATAGCTGTCCATATATTTCCTCTATATCTGGGTGAAAAATCATTTGGAATTTTTAAAAAGCCCTTAATCTAGTAGAGAATTGTTCAACAAATATGACAGAAATAAAAATTCACCGATAGCTTGAACAAGAATTTGAATCAATGCTGTATCCATTGATATATCGTGTGTTAACCCCCCTCCCCCTCTCAGAGTTCATTTAATATGAGCCTAGATCGTGATGAGGTGCTTCGGTAAATTTTTATTTCCATCATATTTGTTGAAAAATTCATTCTCGACCTGGAGAATGCAATCTGTTTCAGATTGTTAGAAGTAGCCTATGCACAGAATACAATTCTCTACTAAATTAAGGGCTTTTTAAAAATTCCAAATGATTTTTCACCCGGATATGGAGTCAATATATGGACAACTATACCCATTCGGTATATATTTTGGACCCGGTCATCTCAACTAGACGTCACACAGTATTCGTTTAAACATCCTATCTAGTGCAGTATCCATTAGATTTGTTCGATCATTAATAGAAAAAGTTGTCTGTCCACAGCCCTCTACTCATAAAGTCGTAGCCGACTGTTCAAAACACTATTTTTTAGACTTTTTTTGTATACCAATCAAAAAAAAACTAGCACATCGTGTAGAAAACTTTATGTTTAGATGAGCGTAAAGATAGAACAAAAACACAAGTGGTCGGATAATTTTGACGCGTGAAATATATGACGCACGTTTTTTTTTCATTTTAATAAAAAATCAATAACACGAAGTTCTGATATGAAACAAAACTCCAACGTACTAGACACTGTGGTCTAAAGCATGGTAAAAGTTACAAACCTCCAGTCACTTTTTTTTTTATCAAATATAGAATAAGCAAAAATACTTTTTTAGGTGGTTGAATAATTTTGACGGTCACTGTAGTATTACAGTAGAACAAGAAAACAAATCAAAACAAACGCCGGATGATGGGTAAGAGTCAGGCGATAATCTAACGGAAAAGAAATTCTTCGAAAGCAATTGTTATTATAGCTAAAAACTCAATCTACTATCGTTATATGATAAATAACTCGACAGGCAATATTATCAGTGATGATTAAATAGTTAGTTCTCAAACTCCAATAGAGAAGGTCAACAATTTCCTTTGTCTCTTCTATATCAAAAACTAAGGTAAGCAAGTGTATTCAGATCAATGAATAGAAATGAACCCGAGTGTAATATCAAGTATGCAAATAGATAAATAAATAAATATATATATATATATATATATTGATATCTATATTACACAATAGTTTGATCACTGAATTCATTCTTTTCTCTTCTACTGATTTGATCGACAGGTTCAACTCGAAAAGATAGAGTGAGAGAAGAACACTTGACAAATGACGACTAAAGATAATCGGTTATGCTTTATATTAAAAATCAACTGCATAGATATAGATAAATAAATAAATAAATAAATAAATTAGAAAAATTATTTTACCTGAATTGTTTTTAAATCAAATGAAGTCCATTGTTTAACAATTAGTTCAATATTTTTACTTGTTGTGGTCATTCTCCGTCTTAATATACAGAATTTTACTTTAAAAATTCAACGGTTAATCGAATCGCTTACCACCTGTCCGTGCCAACAGTCCGATAAGAATGAGAGAGGGGAAAGAAGATTATATAAATCTAAAATGAAATAGTTCATATTTAATGCGCTCAATAACTCGCCCGATGACATTACTATCAATTGAAAACGTCTGTGTGCGTGCGTGTGTGTGCGCATTTACCTGCATCTGTTAATAAATATATGTTTCTGATTTCTTTTTACTTTTCTTTGTCTGTGTACGAACGAGCAAGCAAACTGATAAACGATGGTAGTAAAATCTCTATTTTACTTTCATTCTCTTTGTATTCTGCTTTCTTTTTCTTTCTTTTTTTGTGCTTCGAATATTTGTTCCGATCATGTTGTTATCGACTCAGCGACAAAGTCACGGGCTGGCAAGTGATTGCGCATGCATATGCACACGTATACACATACTATGACAAGTTTATTGGAAATAGCTGTTTATGATCGATTGCCAGTCAACTCAGTACACAAAGCATCGACAAAGAAATACAAAAAGAGAGAGAGAGAGAGAAAGAGAAGAAGAAAAATTTATGGCAATACTACGAAATATATATATGTTCGATGCGGCCTCGAGTTTTTCAATCACTCCTGCTGATACCAAATCTTTCTATTTTTTTTTCTATTGTGCTATAACATCATCAATCACGAAGTAATCAAACTACGAAACATGGAAGAGAAGAAGAAAAAAAAACTGATTTATGTATATATATATATGCTCTGCTACATGTCTTTTTATTTTATAGAGATGTCTATAGATGCATTCATACACTTGAAACAGCAATACTGATTTTATTTTACTCTTGATATAATCAGCTCTGTATTGCGGATCATAATAATTCTTACTAATCCTGTCATCGTACTCCTTTTTTCCTTGGGGGCGACTTATTGAAGAAATATTGATCTGATTTATGATCAAATATATCCTTGCATATGTCTATGCATCCACCTTTCGTATTTCTGCATTAATGAATACTCAATGTTAATATGTAGCAGGAAAAAAACGAAAGGAAAGAACACATGACAGCACCATCTCGGATCTCTTTATCATCAAAAAGGCAGGTGATCCCTCTATTCTTCCTTTTCCCTGACTCATAGTGTCAATTTTCTTAAATATGCATAACCGCGAAGTAACATCCTGCCAAAAGAATTTGACGACACGCCATCGACAGGACTGCATCTACTCATAACAAGAAAAATTAACTCTCATCTCTAGCATTACGGTGATTGGAATCGACGAGTAATAGGATAAAATTTTACGCAGAAAAAATCACAAAAGATTTTAAATACAAAGGAAAGAAAAAGAATTTTATTAATAAAAAATTTATAAGTTTAGATTATAATCAGCCTTAAAAGAAAGACAACAGCCATGCTTCTATTTTTATTTATTTTAGATAGCGCTTGTTTGAAAGCAAGAGTTTTTTTTGTTTGATAGATGTATCTAGAAAAAAGACGATGTTCTTGATATTCGATTGAAATTTTGTAATCTCTAGTAATAGAGAAGATCCTTGATGCTTGTACAAGTTGAAAAATACAAAAAAAAAAGAAAGGCATGAAACCATCATAATAAGTCGTATTTTTTTGCATTGGCACAGACTTTTCTATTCATTGATGTCTAAAAAATAAAATAAAATCGATTAATCAAATTTCAAGTTGATAACACAGCATTACTATGATTTACACCATGATGTTATTTATAACATTCCAAAATGGGAGTGGTACTGATAGTAAAGTCAATGCCCTATCTGACCTTCTATGATATTTGATGATTCTTCAACTGATATCATACAGTATCAGTTTTATTATCATTGTTTGTGTCTAAAATGGATATCTATCTCTGGATATTGCACAGAGAAAAAAAAATCTCACTGATTAATCTTCTGCTATAATAAGTATTGAGCGGAAAATCATTTGTTAACACCTGCTCTCTAGCTTTGTTCGACCCATTCAATGGGAAGATCTAGATCAAGATTGGCGCTAAATAAGTCTCCGATGACAACGACAACTTCACCTGTTATAAATGGCTTATGAAGCAAGTGTTACCGCGTCCAACCGGTACTGTTCAGACTGCAGAACAGCTAAAACTATCGCTCTCATAGATCTTTCATGCTCCGGCAAATAATTATTTCAGTGAACTTCCTATCGAAGAGCTTGGTTTTGTGCAAAAATTCACCTCCTAAGTCAATTATTTTTCGAAAACGAGTAAATCGTTGTGTAGCATCGTCGAAAACTCTCTAACCGTGATTGTGAATGATTCATCAATTCACAAAGTTCCCCAAGGATGTCTATGAGTCACCGCAAGTCCAAACGATGATTTAATCCTGATAGAAGTTAATACTGATCAATATTCACAAAAATATTGGTATTTTGTTTTGGAAAAATACTGCTTAACATATTAGATTTCAAATGGATAAAATTTCAATAGTTACTTTGTGATATGATTACTGATAAATATTTATTAACCATTAAAGATGTTGATATTTGTATAAATATGGTTTTGTTTTCGCGTCAAATCCAATGTTGTATTCTAAGGATTGAAATAGTGAATGAATCAATTTTTAATATAGTTCAGTAATTCTGCGTAGTCGGACTTCCTCAAATATGATTCTAATTCATTTCGATTATTGAATTCGATTTTTTCAAAATTAGAAAATCTAATCAATTATAGAAATAGAAATTGAAATAAAAACATGAATTGATTTACTTTGCAGGGTGAATATTTATTTCAACGATTTGCGTCAACAATCGTTCTTTACATGGTCTACCACGATTATCGATATCTACTGTTTCAGTTTTTAATTTAATAATAAATTTCTAAAATAAACTAAATTTCTATCCAATCAATATATTTTAAATTAAACTAACCTTAAGATTGTCATTGTTTCCTTCGACAAGTATAAAAATAGTGTGCGGAATAACAAGAACTCGTCCAGTTATGTTTAATTCGTTTGTCCATTGACGAAGATGTTTCATGTAAATATTTGGCGAACGCATATGATCGATTTTCATTAAAATTGAAGATGAAGATTCTTCCAACGGCACTATTTCTTTGGTTCTTTTCATCATCAATTCATCATATAAACTTTTAAGTGCAGTAAATAAATCGTACAATGTTGTTTTCAAACAAGCATTTTCACGTAACTGTTTAAGTTCATCGTTTGCTAAAATATTACTTTCAACGATGATTGCATTATTCATATAAACTCTTGTCGAAAATCCAATGCACTGTAGATTATCATCAAATGCATTATATGTAATTATTTGAGACACGTCATCATGGACAATTTCATTCCGACGAGAATAAATTGCTTTAAGTACTTCGATTTGCTCATGCATGCCCCTTTTTTTGTCATCAATCTAAAAATCTACGTTTGTTCGTAAAAATTGTAAATATATCATTAGAAAAAGAAAAGGAAGAGCAAAACAATGAAACACTCCAAAACTAATAAATCTGACAAACAAAAATATCTTTAGATTGAAAACAAAAGAAGAAAACGGACTATAAAATAGTACAAGCGCAATAGGGAAATGTACGTTTCGGTTTCGTCAATGATGCACCGTTGTTTGTTTGATATTGACATTTATGTTTTCGTATAATTCGTACAAGCTCAAAAAAGATCTCATCAATATTAAAACGTGTTCGAGCCGATGTTTCAAAATAAGGTATACGCAAAGCGGCAGCTGCTGCACGTGCTTGACCATCGATACCAATGTGACGTAGATCGACTTTATTACCAATCAATAACATTGGTACATTATCTGTATCTTTAATACGTAATATATCACGATGCAATTTATAACATTCTTCAAGCGAGTGACGATCGGTCAATGAAAAAATAAGTAGAAAACCTTCGCCAACACGTATATATTGTTCACGCATAGGTTTAAATTCTTCTTGGCCAGCTGAATCAAGAATTTCTAATTGTGCTATTTGATTATCGATTAAACATTGTTTGACATAAGAATCTTCAATAGTTGGATCATAATCAGAGAAAAAAAATGATTTCACGAATTGAATTGTTATAGCTGACTGAAAGAAAATGAGAATCTACGTGAGCTTCGAAAATGTTAATTTGATCGAGAAACTCAACTGATCGTTTGTAAAGTTCAACTCATTTATTCATAAGTAGAATATTGACTATGATATCATCACATACTTTTCTCTTGTCAAGTAATCAATAACAAATGAACATACATGCACATCATGATCTGCAGATATCTGCTTATCATACTCATAACATCATGATCATATGTAAATACAGATGAATATTCTAAGTCTGGAAAATAGTGATTAGGCTATGTACATGTATAGTTCATAAATATTGCTCAATAAATAAAATTTAAAAAAAACATGTCGCTTTTTTTACTACTAATACAAAAGAAGAACATTAATTTTTTCAAGAAAAATCCGATAAATTTTCCATTATGAATTTTTTTACGTTGTAGGAAACCTTTGATCATCAACAATTAACATATTTTCGTTGTTATCATGAATGTTAGACAAAAAATCTATGTGTTAGGAAGCAAGGAAAAAAACTTACTTTGCCAACACCACCACTACCTAATACAATAAGTTTGTATGCAGGTTTATCTTTGGGTTTAGTGATTGCAGCAACGTGCTGTTTATTTGAAAATTTTGTTTTAGAAGTTTGTGTCATGTCCTTTTTTCTCTCTAAACAAACGTAAAAAAAAGCGATGTTTACTACATAGAATAATGCAAGTGTTTATCTTGATTATTACTAGAAACTGTATGGGGGTGAAGTATTACCAAACGTTGCAGTGATAGTTGTTGGTAGATATGTTTCTATGACCTTGTTATCATGAGCATCGTAACTGTGCCGTTAGTCGATGATGATCTATGAGCAAATAAATGCCGTTGACTCTTGATTAAATAGAGAAAGAAGATCACGCATGGATATCTGGAAGAGAAGAAAAGGGGAAAAAAGCAAATACATATAGAATAGGTACTAAAAGATCATGGCGAAGTAATACAAAACGAATGATTCGCCTTTTTTTCTCACTCTCTCTCTCTCCATTTGTGTCTCATCAGATTCCTTACGATATTCAAGAAGGGATTGTCTAACTTCTGTTTTGATTCGATTAAAATAAGAAATTGCACTCCATTGTGTTCATTACTTCAATCAAGAAAAATTTGTCCTAAATAATGTGTAGATGTGAACACGCGTAAAAATGCCTATGTTTATCTAACGATATACAACACGCATAAGAATAGAGAGGAGTATATACGAGAGAGAGAGAGAGAGAGAGAGAGAGCAATTTTTCTCAATGCTATTGATTATACAACTTTCGGTTTTTTTTTTCTTCTTCTCATTCTCTCTATTCCTAATGTACACAAAAACGTTTGGCAGTCTATTTATTTGCACATTTCTTTTCGTAATCAAGTTAATTATGTGCTAAAGTATGATCTTGATAATACAAATAGACTTGATATACTCTCATTTTACAATTTACACTAACCAAATGTCAGCATTGAGCCTTGTATAGTAATTTGTCATCGCCATCTTTTGCTTATTCAATCGGTCGACCGATCTATTTACGAATGTTTTGTTTGAAGGAAGAGTGCATACAGATATACACCCATACAAGTAAACCATTATACACTTATTGGTTTGCTGTTAAGTCTACAATAGATAAAATAATTAATAGGAAATAATCATTCTTTTGTGTCAAGAAGAAAAAAAACCAACAACATTATAAACAATGCTGTAGATGAATGTATTCAAATAAGAAAATAAATTACAATATTTGTTTTTGTTCCGTGTTTACAATCAAAATTTATAATAAAAATCACAAAAAGAGAATTAATAAATGATAGCTATAGAACAATATTTGTTTGGCCTATTCCCAATCATCTTCATTGTCGTTATCATCATCATCTGAGCTATCTGCTTGACGTAGTTTTTCAGCAGCAATTTGTTTTGCTTTATCTGCAATGGCATCTGTAAATGCACCGCCAGTTGCTGGTGGAGGTGCTGGTGGTGCAGGTATAGGTTTTTCAACAGCAGCTGACGATGGCACAGATTCGCCAGTGATGAAACCACGTCGTTGCATTAAACGTTTCTTTAGAGTATCCATAATATTTTCTTGTTCATGTGACGGTGGTAATGGTGCATTATCGACTGGATTTGATTTTGATGCTGCTTTCAGTTTATTTGCTTTTGAAAAATTACGAATTTCTGCAAGGAACGCATTACCACCATCATCATCGTCATTGTCGTCACCGTTGTTATTAGCTGCATTATTAGCCGATCCTTGCGATTCATTAGCAGCTAATGAGGGTGGCGGCGGTGGTGTTAAAATTGAAGGAACTGTCGAAGACAATGGAGGAGCAGGTGGTGGTAGTAGTGGAGCTGGAGGTGGAGCAGTATTTGAAGTAGATGTTAGCGGAATGATTGCCGGTATGTCAACCGGCGGAGGAGCCAATGCTAAATAAAAAATAATAATTCTTATTATTCTTATTTGTTTATAACAAAGAAAAAATACGTACCAGTTGTTCTTGGAGGTTCAACTGGAGGCAGAGTCGTTGTTGTTGCTGATGACGATAGATCATTAATATCTGGTAACATTGAAATAGCATATGAAGGTGCAATCGACGTCATTTGTTGACCCGACCAATCATTAGTCGTATTCTCATCGAACGTCGCATAATTATCCAGTTCCGGTAGGTTGTCAGGAAGACTAAGTTGAGGTACAATACCCAGTGTAGGATTATAACCGAAATCACCTATTTTCGGACGTTCCGACCGTTGTGAATAAAACGCAGGTAATGGAGTTTCGACAATACCTTTACAATCAAAGAAATACACGATCAGATACTATTCATCTGAAGAATATTGAGCAAGTAGAATATCATACGTGGTTGAGTAGGTTCATCGGCTTGTTTACGCATTCGTCCGCCAACATTTAATGGGTCAATTTTTGTGGGCTGTGTATAACTAAAAATACGAAGGCAAAAGGTGTTAGAGCAATTTGAATACAAAAGATACTATTGCTATTCTTTTACAGCCTCTGAAAGAAGATCAAGACTTTTTATCCACATGTTTCAATATTCGGCTTAGATCATATTTCAAAACTTACGGATTTTCCGGTGTGTTATATTTAAGAAATGAAACAACTGATTTAATATTCGTTGGTGGCTTTCCTAAGCCATGCAAAATGTTTCTTTTTGTTTTTTGAATAAAATTATCATCATATTGTTTTAATACAACTAATGTATCGTCTTTCGATTTCGATTCTTTGTCATTACGATCAATGAATCTATCGTTTGTTTCATTTAAACGAAATAAATTATAGTGAAGTACCGGGGGTCTATTATCTTCATTGTCGGTATCACATTCAAATATTGATTTGTATGTCGACCGATTTTGTTCAACCGGATAGCGTGCACTCGAATGTACTTGAATAGCACGCTTTGAACCTTTAATACGATCAATATGAGCGTTAGCATGTTGAATGCGTTCGTCAAATTTATTTAACTGCGCACGATAAATGTTAAGACGAATAGCAATACGATTAAACATATCTTGAGATACAGTGTCCATATAATCGAATGTATCCGCCAGTTGTTTAACGAATTCGGCGCGGCGTAAATCGCCCGAAATAACGGGAATCGTGTAGGGATGTGTTGCAGTCATCTAAAAGTATTAATTAAGATAGGTAAGAAAACTAGTAACGCATTTTATACAATGTCAAAAATCAACAAGAGATAAAAGATAAGGTTTTTATTTGTAAATAAAGTGCTTTATTAGTCATCAATCAACATGACGCTTATAGGTCATTAATCATCAAAATGGAAACAGAAGAAAAAAAAAACATTATCAATGCGCGTTAAAATTTGACTCTGTTTGTTTTGCCGACATACACAAATTTTAAAGAGTAAATGCTATCGGAATTGCTCTTTATGCTGATAGTTAATTTATTATCATCATTGTTAATAAATTGAAATAAGATTGACCATTTTTTTAATAATAAAATAATTTCTGATGGGTTCATAAAAAAAAATATTAGATGATCTATAATAGGAATTTTTCGATAATCATGAACAATTCGGCCAAAATATACACTGTTCCCAAGAATTATAACAAAATAGAATCGTTGCAGTAAGAAAAACGAGTAGACATAGTGTGCAAGGACGTTTTTCTAGTAAAAAATTGAGCAAATGCAGCACTAAAAACAGATAATGGTGAATACTTGGTAATATAGGATGTGGTAGAAGAAACAAAGGTAGAAGCCATTGTATGCAGTACATATCATCTAAAAAACGCCGATACCCTACGAAGCCTAGTTAATTAATAAAAATTATATATTTAATTAATGAGAATTAGTATCACAATAGGAATCGAATAAGAAAACAAAGAAAAAACAATAATTTTATAGTTCGATATGATTGCTGGATGCAACTGGATTTATGGTTGAGGAATGTAAATTTTCTTCGGGAAAAAATATATTACGTTCACTGTGATGTTTGACATGGAGTTCATTACGGAAATATTCAATTGTCTTATGAAGACCCTCATTAAGTGAAATCTATTCAAGTTGAATAAAAAAAAAAAAACGTTTGGCTTTTTAGTTATTATTATAGAATAACAAGAAAACTATTTACCTTTGGTGCCCAATTAAGCCATGATTTGGCTAATGTTATATCAGGTCGACGTTGTTTTGGATCATCAACAACTGCATCGTGATACTCCAATGGAGCATTTGAGTCTAGAATGACGAAGATAAATTAATGAATGAGATTTGACTTACTGGATTTTAGGGACGAGGCATTCACTAGAATTTGAATTCGAAAAAAATTTAGTTCTCATGTTTTGAAACGAATTATTTTTTCTAAAACAGCTCTTCAACGACGGATGCACCAAAACGAATCCTAGTGTATCGACGGATGACATTTAATTTCTTTCGGAGAAATAACAGAGATTTATCGTAGATGTCAACTAAATTCAATGGGATAGATGAATCTAGAAGATGATCGAAAGTTTTAGTGATGAGAGTATTTCAATTTAGAACTATAGTAAACTCCTATTTTGTAGCATCATGATTTATTTCTAAATTTCTATATTGCTTCTCAGTGAAAAATATTCAACACTTACCAACAAGCTCTTTTATTTTTATTGCAAAATTTTCAATTGTGTATTCATCCGGATTACCTAAATTCATAGGCATCGAATAATTACTATTCATCAAAGCAAGAAGACCATCAACAAGATCGCTGACGTATTGAAATGAGCGCGTTTGTTTTCCATTGCCATAGATCTAAAACAAGAACAAATTATTTCTTTCAGAAATTTTAATAATTAATTTACCGTAATGGATTCATTTTGTAGAGCTTGCAAAACAAAATTACTAACAACGCGTCCATCATTCATATGCATACGTGGACCGTATGTGTTAAATATTCGAGCTATACGAATAGAAATATGTTCCTAAAATAAAATAAAATATTATTTTATTATTTAATTCAATAACAAACTTGTTGAGCATATGCATAACACATAGCTTCAGCAACACGTTTTGATTCATCATAACAAGCTCGTGGTCCAAATGAATTAACATTGCCGAAATAGGATTCTTTTTGTGGATGGACTTCTGGATCACCATAAACTTCACTTGTTGAAGCAAATAAAAGCCGAGCGCGAACACGACGTGCCAAACCTTTTCGATAAAACAAAATTTTTATTTATTTTCTTTTAAAGCTCGTTGTTTTTTTTTGTTTCGTAATTACCGAGCATATTAATAGTTCCTATGGAATTGACCTTAATTGTTTTGACTGGATTATACATATAATGTGGTGGAGATGCTGGCGAAGCCAAATGATAGATTTGATCAACTAAAAAAGATGGGAAAAGATTTGAAAGGAAATTTTATCATTTCATTCTATTCGAACCTTCGATAAAAAGTGGATTGACAATATCATGATTGATTAATTCGAAATTTTCATGACCAATCCAATGTTCAATATTGCGTTTACGACCAGTAAAAAAATTATCAGCTACAATTACTTCATGACCTTGAAGCATCAATCGATCAACAAGATGCGATCCGACGAAACTATGTTCCAGAGAAAAGAAATCATTATAAGCAAATCCCTAAATTGAATTATCAAATTCTACCCAGCTCCGCCAGTAACCTATGCAGAAAACAAATCTCTGAAAATAACATAATCAATACAGAGATTTTAACGTACCAGAATTCTTTTACGATCTTTATATGTTAAAAATTTCACTTCTGGATATTGTTGCTGGCTACGAAAGAAAAACATGAACGAAATAATTTCGATCAATTGATTTCTTTTACCGAGCTTCCAAGTCTTGAATTCGTTTCTCCAAAGCTCGAATCTGGTCTTCTTGTTGGCACACATTTATTTTTAATAAACAAATGAAAAATAATAAAATATATAAAAAATCACCTAAACAAATCAAAATAATAATAATAATGTAATAATAATTGCAATCAACAAATATCTACTGTTCTTTTTATGGAACATAATCCGAGATTCAACCAAAATCTTGTATTAATCGCTCTGAAAATAAAACAAATGTGTAATGAAGCGGATCAATGAAAAATGTCAAAAGTAAAATAGATAAATAAAACTATTTTTTGTCGAAAGGCTATACAATTTTACTCATGACACGAGAAAAAAATCGAACAGATTAAAATCGCTACTATCTGCGTGATATGCGATATACCATTTCTTTCCATTGGCTAAGTTTTATAATCAATCATTTTGACTGATGCTAATTTATTTAGTTTTTATTTACTATGTGATAAAAAAAAACGAATTCTTTTGATGAACAATACTGTTTCATTAATCTTTCTAGCAAAAAGCACTTCAAGCAAAAAAGAAATATTCACGGTAATGTATCATGGCATCATTAAGAGGCCACGGGTGTTAAGGTACTAACTCACGATCTTGAGGAAAATTCAAGGTTTGTACTGATATATAGTTGTGAAATATTTTCCGTTAACGAATGAAGAAATAATGTTCCTGTAATATTTTCTGGAACGATTTCGCTATAAGTGATGAATCGTTTGCAACTGATTAAAGTAATTTCAAAACTTTGAAGAAGGATTCAAGAGTAAATTAAATCAGTTGTTCAAACAGCAAAAAAGAAACTTTTAACTGTAAGCAAGATTAATTGACGATGGGCCGCTATCGAAAGAGTATGAAAACCAAAAATGTACTACAGTATTATTCTTTCTCTTAAAAACCGCAGACTTTTTTATGGGTCTAATTGCAAGTAACATACTTGTTCTTTCCTGTTTCTTTGAAAAACAGTTTTCGCAAGACATAAATTAACGAAAGACTGTAGACAATGAGTATTCAATTCAATATTAGGTTTATTTCATGATTGAAACTTTGTTACATTACCGTTCACGACCCTAAAAGTATATATGGAAATGAAGATTCAATGGAACTAATGACAAGTATCATTTTTGTTTTTATCAAAGTCGAAATCCTGTCCGAGATGACTTGCTGAATGGTCTAAATGAAAAACTCTCCTGACATTGACACACAATACATTTTGTGGACAAAATCAATTTCGACTGATAAAAACTCAATTAAAAGTTACTTAATATATTTCAGAAGACTGGAGCCATCCGTTGAAATCTTGAAATTTCAAAATATCTCAATGTTTCATCAATGAACTCGAAATAGAAAAAGCAAGAAAATTAAATAATATTTATCTGAATGAATTGAGTGAGCAATTATTTTTCTTTTATAGCAGCTTATAAATAATTTTGGTTCATTCTGCAATGTAACGATACCAAAGCTTAGTAACATAAGTGCACTGAAAAACGCAAACGCTATTCCAGCAATACTCGTACAAATTCAGAGATGAATTTCTACTTTCTTGAGAATATCAATCATACAGCGGATACGGTATCATTCTATTTTGTTTATGAGTTTCTTGAATCTAGAATCGTGGAGATAGCATAGCTATTTGATTGTTGAGAAAAAATATTCCTCGGTATACGTATACGGAATCTTATGTTTCTCGTGTCTTGAACCAATGGTTTTAGTTACTCGGATAATCGTTCGATGGAGTTGTGAATCATAAATGCGGACAAAGTCATAATATAATAACGTTGTCTACTACCGTTGATAGCGAAGATATGGTTGTTTTCCTTCAAGGTTACTTATGAAACAAAACTATGCAAGTTCTTATCTTTGGACTATACTTACAGTTCGAACGGGGAGGCGCAGCATATACGTCTTCATTTTATCAATCTTCTATCATTTCGGCTTAAAATGCTCCTATTCGTTATCTTCTGCTTATTGGGCTGTACATTTGCTCAATTGCCAAAACCTTGTATATCTCCCGGTCAATGGGAAGCACGCGTTCGTACTTCCAATCCCCAGCTAAAAGCAGAACTTTTTGGTAAATTAACCTATGATTCAGTGTATCATCGTACAAGAATTTTGCAAGACGTGACGGTCGGCACAACCGAGACCTACTATGATATTATTACTTTCTATGAAGGCAAGCTTGCATTTTTTATCGATAAGAAAACAGATGTTTGTTCACGTGTCCCTTTTGATCAACCGTGGCGTGATTATGGTATCCAAGCGGATGCAAGATTCGTTAGAGAAGCATATATAGGTTCTTCCGCAGTTTCTAGCAGCGGTCTACTTGTCACTGTGTGGTGAGTATAGCATAAATGAGATTTCGAAATCGATTATATTTTCTAATCATGCACACGAATTAAGTTTAGTGTCTATTCATTAGGAGTGGAAATATTACAATACCAATCAATCAAACAGCCACCTACATAGGCACCTGGACCTACGATGGATGTCTGCCCATTTCCGATATTACATTTGAACCCCACGACAGAATCAATTATACTTTCTTTTATGATATCACAATTGGCATCAGTGATCCGAATGTTTTCATTCCTCCGCGACAGTGCCTGACTGAAAAGGAGTACAACATGCGGCATACACTCTTCGGTTCATTGAAAAGCAAAAACCTTAATTAGGCCTAATGAAGATGTGCTAATATTTTAAAAATCAATGATATACTGTTTGATTTTTATTGACGACTATAAAAACGAGCCTTGTTATTGTTACGATATATAAAAAAAGTAACTTGAGCGTAAATATGGACGTTGCTCATTTGCGCATTCATTTAGATTTCACTCAAAACTTTTTCTCAGTCCTTAATGCGTTTCAAATTGGACATGTATCTCGGAATCTTCGTCCATCCAATCCACATGAATATTTTCTGATTGTTTGTTGGTTCTGCATGAGTATAATCCGCATGATTTCAATATTGGCTTTCGATCGAACAATAATTTCGAATTTGTAGAAAACAAAGTCTCTCTGACGATGAATTAAGAACCTCTTACTTTCATCACACTAAACTATGTTCAGAAGATACGATCTTCAACGGGAAGAAGAAAAAAAGTTTCTGTCTCTATCTTCTTCACAAAATGCGATCAAACAAGAATATACGTGAAAAAAAACCGGTATCCATTTAAAACAGATATCGAATTTCCTCCCGACGATGAAACAAGCCGATCTTATCTAGAAATAGAAATTTACATGTAAAAAACAATCATTGGCGAAGGAGATACTATTTTTTTGTCTCTTCGCGACCAAAACACTATGTCTAACAATATAAAAACGTATCTTGCCTATTTCTGCTTACTCGTAATATCGATAACGGGATTTATTCCCCATCCTTCGGTTCGTCTTGGTGGTCAAGCTGGAGAAAGTTTGTTTTCTTTCATCTATTATATCTATAGGATTGTCTTGAGTTGTTGATGATAGGTATTACCCACACAGAAATAACACAACAAGCATTTATTCGTAGCCTAGCACGTTATTTTCTTGATACACATGCTATTCGAACTCAAGAAATCAATCACAGTCACGAATATACTATTGATGAACTCTATCATCTGGCCTATCCTCATTGGACTACGAAACAAGTACGACAGCGTTCATATCCATTAAAATCTATCCTTGATACAATCCTAGTAGAGAATGGTTTAGTTGATTTTGATGCCTGGACAAAAAAACTGCCAGCAGCTCATTTCGACAGTGAAGCATTCAGCAATGGTAGTCGACGCATTCTTGAATTACGACGGCAGAGTCAGTTTCACTTTGGCATTTTTTTATTCACTATTTCATTTTATTACAGTCATCAATGATACACGTACGAAGGCGAAAATTTTAACAGAAGCTCGCAAATGTCTTGGACAGCTACTGCATACATTGCAAGACTTTTATTCGCACTCAAACTGGATTGAACTTGGTAAAACAGACATCAACGATCGATTAGGTATTCATGAAAATATCGGACCAGTTGCTGCATCCAATCAATCAACTTGCACTAGTAGTGGCTGCACGAAAATTCGCGTACGATGTGTAGGCTAAAATTCGTCCTTTCGTCGAGTTATTCACAATTCAGTCATCGTTTGTTCTTTTTATTCCAGAGTCTTTATCAGAAGATTACATTGAATAAATGCCCATTGGAATACTATGAATGTAAAAATAATATCCAACCAGAAATTATTGCTCAAGGTTTACTTACAAGCGGCTATTCGAGCAATCAACACAATGAAAACAATGATTCGATCACTAAACCGATCAATGTCGAGAAGTGTTCGCATGGTTCAGTAATGGATATTACTTCTCATCAACCGGCTGTTGGTGGAATCAATAAAGATACGACTATTCCACTGTATTCGCCTCATTTTGATCTTCAGTGAGTAACGATTTAAAAAAACAAAGAAAAATCTTTTCATTGTTTCCAGCTACGAAGCGGCCAATCTAGCAGTGATTGCTACTGAACAGTTTCTTAATGATCTTCGTCGCGATTTGGGCAACGATGATTTCGATCGTCTATTTGCTATTCATCCGACAGTAGAAGAATTACATGCAGCATCGAAAGCTATTGCTCACATGCGTAAATGGCAATTTTTTTCTTCATCGATCTCGAGCGGTTTGAGTTTAACCGCTCGGCTAATGAAAAATTTTAGGCAGTCTGTCAAAGAAAGACTGAAAAAAATTAAATGGAATCTATTCGGTAACTCCAAGGATATACTCAAAGAAGATTTCGTATTTCGACGTCGTCGAAAGCGAGACTTGATCCTAAGACGACGACAACAACTGCATTAATCAAGTTGTTGATCAACAATATGTACTAAAAAGAAATATTTTACGTCTGCATGTTGATTGAGAGAAGACAATAAAGTCTGAAGCAATGAAGTACATATATCTATATCTAAATCAATACAACGTGATCCTATTTTAGCTTGCTCTTTGTCCTTATTGGCATAAATATATTAATCATTGTGAGGAATCTACTGAAAGAGTCACAGATGTCCACTTGATAAACTTTGTGCCGTTGGCCGAATCAAATTATGTAAAAAAAAAACTGATGGGTCTTAGATGATGATCAATATTTTCTCTATCATCAATTGAAATCTGTGAAAAAGCGGCTAAGGTGGACATTAATAATTAGCGATAAGAATGTTTAACTCGATGTAGAAGTAATGTGATATAAAATGATGGTTGCACTTTTAGCGAAAATGATACTCTCCATTCAGATTAATTAAGTAGAATTGCAGAAAAACAAATATCACAAGATAATGTATTCTACACTTAATGAACTACGTGATATATGAATCCATTATTGTGCACCCTAAATCATGGATGATCTATTTAAATATAAAGAATATGTAGAAAAAATAGATTTATTTTCAGGAGTTCATACATCTCATCGAATGATATTTAGTTTCAAATCAAATATAGCTAAAATGAGTGCAAACAATGCGCATCTTAGCAGTAAGAGTTTTCATGAAAATAAAAATGAATTGAAAGAGTAATCAATAGAATGAACAATAAATCTAACTATATTATTGCTCCTTTCAATGGCATGTTTCAACAGTGAACATATCAAGTTGTCTAGTATTAGAATCCGATGAAATTTATAATCCGTTGACAAATATGTGGCTCTTGAGTTTCAATCAACTTTTGTTTATAGAATTCTGACATGCGTAAAATCTATTGCATTAAGTATCGGGAGTTGCTGATGAATGGTTTGTAAATACGCCAGCTGAAAAAGAATCGCATCATTAGCGCAGTGATTTTTTGCGATATTGTATCGCGAGTGTATGAATTTGCGTACTGGTATAATCATAAGTTTGAGAAGAATAAGAGGAAGTGCTAGTATTTCCATACAGAACAGTGTGAAAACAAAACTCTTGAAGGTCATCTCGGATTCCTTAATAATTGGTTTTTGTGGGTGTTTGGTGCAGTATGAACTTTCGCTAATAATAATCTTCAATGTTGTTTAAGTCAAGTTAGATGATGTGGTGTATTCGTCGGACGTGGAGAACATCAAATTCTTGTCTACAGTGTATGTTAATGGAAACCAAATTCCTGTAAAGTCTGGATCTGTTCCACTCAGCGATTCTGTCTTGTTTACAGCCTAAAAAAAGTTAAATTTTACATCTGTTGAATATTAACCTACTAATCGAGTAGGCTTTTATTTCTTATTGTTAAATATTGCTGTCTAAATATGCAATATTAGATAAACAGTACAATTTTGGTACAACCAGATGGATTTTATAGCGAATTATTTATGCTTAATTCTACTAAGCTACCGAGAAAATCTCTTCATTTGTAATAATAGTTCCTATTCTCATTAGCCGTCACTACAATCGTTGCACAGCGATTAATCAGTTCTTAGTGCAGGCTCCTGGCTTGCGCATCACATTTTACAAATTAATCACACAGTTTCGCATTCACGACCATAAGTTGTAGATACGTGTAAAATGTTTCTTTAGTAAGATGCATTTTGTTTTTATAAATTCTATTTCGGCTAATTAACAGTACTCGATAAAACGTTCAATTATGTAGCATCCCCATGTTGCGAATACCGGATCATTTTTTGCGGTAAACCGCGGTATTTATCCGTTCTGCGGTAATGGGGGCCGGTAACCGGACCGGTAAAACTGCGGTAAACCGCGGTTTTTTGCTCATGTTTATCACATGTAAAAGTAAAAAAAAAGGGTGATTAAAATAGTTTAATTGATGATTTGGAAGACTTTTTCTGTCAAAGATTATAGACGAACCGGTTAACCGCTTTTTTTTAGCGGTAACCGCGGTATTAATCAAAACCGGCGGTTTACCGTGGTAAATGTCGGATCATTTTTTGCGGTAAACCGCGATATTTATCCGTTCTGCGGTAATGGGAGCCGGTAACCGGATCGGTAAAACCGCCGATTTTCATGCGGTTTTTATTACATGGGTCATTTATTCACACTAGACACTGCTCTCAAATGGCATGCTCTAACCATGATGTTGGGCTGAAATCAATGATTTACTATAGCGCACTAAAGAATGTTTCTACAAGTAAAAGTAACAATGAACTTTATGAGATGTCTTGCGTGCTCAGCTAAATTCAATACTTAGACACGAAAGCGTGTACAACCGATTCATATATCACATTGAATGTTTTCTGATTTTATTTGATTTATTATACTTCNTCTATTCTTTTTTATTTTTCGCTGCGCCATCACCACTATGCATTTGTAAAACTTTATCCATGTCTTCCACGAAGTGTACTATCTGATTTAAAACGATCTATTCCGCATTTAGTCAAAAGCAGGATTGACTTATATTTTAAATTGTTTGATGAGAACGTGTACTTCTTCAAAGTACTACCTGTTTCTATAATTGCAAAAAAGCTATCAAGATTCCGACTCTTGAAAATAATATTTACTCCTTTACTACTGCTGAGTTTGATTTTGAACATGATTAAAAGCTATATACGGTAGCTTCATGATACGTGATCGTCCAGCTATAAAAACTAATGTTGTGTTATCTCTATACTGGTGATTATTTTATCTGTTTTATATTTAAAAAAATAATCTGATGGAACGGCCAACGAGGATCCGAAAGCCAAATGTGCGCTATGATCCTAGTATTTATGTTCTCGCATCTTTCCCGAAGAAGAAAAAACATGCAATTATTCCAAAACATCAAGTGACTATTGATGTGATAGACGAACAAAATGGTAGTATTCGATCATCTGGTTTTGCACAACCAGTTCGTATTATTGCTGAAGGTAATTAATTCTTCAATTCTTTTATATTCAAAGTTTTTTGTTTTATTTTATTCGTTTTACATCAGGTACCCATACAAAGTGTCAAGAAAAAGCTTCTCAATTTAGTCGCAATACAGGAAGTGAAGAAATTGATATACAACCTGCTAATAATGACGAAGATGAAGAGCTCGATGACAATCACATTTACACAACCAAACTGTTTACAACAATGATGAAAATGAACCTTTACCACAAGCAACAGGTAGACAACAACTTTCCACCCTTGACAATGTTTACTTTTTTTCCAGATTTTCATTCGAATTACAATGTGAATGAACCTTTACCACCGACAACAGGTAGATAACAACTTTTCACGCTTGACAATGTTTACTTTTTTTGGGGTGGTCCCTTTTCGTCCTCATTTTTTTTACGGACATCGGCCGGAGAAGTCCATTCCGAACTTCAGTTTCCGGATGTTCGGAATGAAAGTCGTCTAGATGTTCGGAACGGAAAATACAGGATGTTCGGAACATAAAATGACCGATGTTCGGAACGAAAACATACAGGATGTTCGGAAGAGAAAATCATTTTTTTTATAACATAGTTTATTTTCTTTTATTTCCTAGTATAGTCTTTCACAAAAAAAGCATAAGACAACAAAAGTTTATACAAGTGAGAGAATAAATAACTTTTGTAAGAAAAAAATTTTATGTTTAATGTTTTTTTGCAGCATGTCTTGTTTTTTTCTTTATTGAAATTTGTTTAATATTGGCATCATCTGTTTCATCTACTTTTTCTTTCACTAATGAACTGCTGGCTGAACATTTATGAGAATTATTAGTAAATTTTTTGTTACCAGCACCTACCCTCTGTAAAACAGAGAAGTTTATAGTTTTACTACTCATTCCCACTATAAAACATACACCAAAATTCATTTCCAACATTCAGTATTTTTTCGTTCCGAACATCGGTCATTTTTTGTTTCGAACATCTGTCACTTTATGTTCCGAACGTCGGTCATTTTTTATTCCGAACATCGGTCACTTTATGTTCCGAACATCCTGTATTTTTTCATTCCGAACATCTGGACGGTTTTCATTCCGAACATCTGGACGGCTTTCATTCCGAACATCCGGAAAATCGATTTTATTTTTTATATCCGATTTCGAACATCCGGTCAAATAACCTGATGTCCGGAAGAGTGAGGACGAAAAGGGACGCACCACTTTTTTTCCAGACTTTCATTCGAATCACAATGTGAATGAACCTTCTGTAGATTTTGACTCTATTGTTGCTTATCAAAATGTGAAGAAAACGACAAAGCGTATGACATTCGGCGATGATGATGATGATGATCAGCTGGAAGAAGAAACACTTAATATGGCATCAGGCAATCGACATGAAAATAATTCCAAGAAGAAGAAAGGTGAGAAGTTTTGTTGAGATCAGAGACTTTTTCGAACATAGAAGACTTCAAATTTGATTAATTCTATCAATATATGGTGAAATCAATTCTGCTATTC